GGCCTGTTAAGTAAACTCGTTAGTATATTGAAACGAGCAATACAGCGTATCATATACTAAAAACCAGAAGTTGGATCAACTTCACCACATCACCTTAAGACAAGTTCTGTGCATTGTTTTGGTTCGACCGTTGTAGCAGAGCTGTCGACGATGGGTGGTATATTGTGGTTAAGGCTCGGGGCCCTGAAAAGAGCACCTCGTGTCCTAATCCACGTCCCTTTCTCAATCCAGGTTCCTTCATTCTATCCTGTGACCCCCTCCCAACCCTTGGTTACAAGGGGCGTGTCCGAGCGCAAAATAACGGTGTAGCCCAGAGGCAACCTCTCAAGCACAAGCTGTACTCGTGTCGGCATGGGCGGCGAGTGCCTTATCAGAGGAACACGAGAGTTAGGGTACCAGATCCTGTCTGCATAGACGGGAGAGGGTGGGTGCATAACCATCTGAACTACGGGGTAACAGAAATGTTCCAAAATTCAGCCCCTGTTACAATGGGAATGGATTCGTAGTGGCACGTGGCGACGCCCCTGGCGGGAACTTAGAGAAGAGGCTGTCTTCTATCTTTGACCTTGGTACGAAACTTGCGTATGACCATCGTTATACACCCGGCCTCACGGGATACGGCGGATCGGACGGAAGCGTATAAGCGTTGAGGACGTTATGATTATGCTGAAAAGTCCCTCGAATGCGTGAGTAGTGGCGGTGGGAACGGGTAGTGAATCGGTTGCTCCTACTGGAATATGCTGAGCTCGATTGGAGGTTTTTACCCCTCTACGGGGTGGTTAGCAATTCCACTTTAAACGAAACCGCGGCCGGAGCGGATCCGGTAGTTTCTACGATGGGGAAGCCCCAATACTCTGGGAGATAAAGTCGCCTTCTCTACCTAGGGAGTGCGCGGGAGACCAGGCTGATGCGTTTTGGCTTGGGTAGCCCTTTGCGCGCGGCATACGGTCTGATGCTTATGCAGGTCCGCCCACTCGGAATGGGCAAGCGGGTAGCGAGGTTGTCTTGACCCTTCGGGGCTGTGCTGCCTCTACACCATTGCTGCGGCAGTAACACCCTTCTGTCGTATGCGGAGGTGCGTCAGCTCTCATCTTGAGAATCAAAACGTCCGATAAGGCCGAATAGGCTAGGTGCGGACGTTAAAGATCCTCATTGTCCTTTTTAGGACGACCAAGTATACGGGAAAGACTGTAGCAGACCTGTGGATTATAGCGATCGCCATATAATACAACAGGCATAAAATAAGAGTACAAACAAATCAAAATAGAATTTTCCGACTGACAGACAGAAGGTGTCGAATGGTTTGTTAACAGACTACTCTTCTCTTCTTTGACCTACCCGAGGTGTTCCTTGCCCATAAAATAAGCTGAAAAGTCTAATGCTTCTTTGAAAATCACACAAATTCTATACAACACATTTCAATTTTCTTCTGACACAAAATGGAAGCGAAAACGTTACTGCGATCTTAAACATAAAATTTATCTTTTGGATAAAAGTCAATATTTTTTCTTCCAATTTTCCACTTGAATTGATCAGTTTATATTTATTAGTCTTTTAAGTTTTTATCAATTGTATAAATTGTTGAGCTTACTTTTTTCAAATAATAACTTTAGTGCAGGGTTCTGTGAGGAACTTAATGGATGCAAGGGTTGTCGTATGTGTATTATAATTATTATTCGGAAATCGTAAGATGCGGTCTGGTGTGATGTAGGTTTCAGAAACGTTTCGATCTTTATTGAGATCAATTTAACAAATACATGTAGGATGTGGAAAAAAGTGAATTTATACAATGCCAAAAATATTTTTTTATGTTCAATTGAAGTATTTCTACTCTATTGTAAATCCCAGGCCCTGAAGATGATCTCAATAAAGTTCGAAACGTTGGCACGATAAAGGAAATGTTTTTCTGAAACCTACACACACCAGACCGCATCTCACGAATCTGAATAATTATCGACTAACGGTCACTAATCACCACACATTATAATTATTGTCACGTCAACTATAAGTATGAAATGTATACTTAAAGTTAACACATACCGACTCAAAGATTAACTAGTACAAATCCAAAATTTGTTGAAATATCTCAACACACATAAAGAGAAAACAGTATCAAACAGTTCTTTAGAACAGCCTTCGTGTCCAAGAGGCCAATCGACGGCAAATTTTCACATCCAGTGATTGATAACCGCATCCCCCGAACGTTTGTGCATTAGGCTCAATTGCAATAAATTTTACTGCCCGTTCCAGTGGTAATAATAAATTAATTGCCCCCAATTGGCCTGAGATAATTACGTGTTCATTGACCGTACTGAATTAAAAGGAATCTTGTTTTTCTATTTTCACATCGGGACTTTGGTTTTCCTAAAGAATTTGGGTTAAAATCTCTGCCTTTGTATATCGATATTCAACAAAAGATTTTGACTATATTTTCTCCTTAGTATCAACTTTTCGTTTGGTGTGCTTATGTTTATGAAAAATCCACGTTTTAGCATCACAAAAATGAAAATAATTTCCCTAACCACCGCATTATTAGGACTTCATCAGAGGTTATCCAAACTTTTAGATTTGATTTCTATAGTCGGTTTTATTAGAAGCAAGTTCAATTCCTTGGATTGATCAGTGGCGGGATGTCTTCGATACTCGATAGGATGGTGTTTTTAATTTTCTGCTAATTTGATTTGTTTTTTTTACAGATTATCTGTTTAGGAGGCCTTTTTATTATTGTATTTCTTCATGTACATACCGTCTGTAGGTCACTCGAAAATCCTACAACTAATTAGTAAGGTTAAGCGTTAGCGATAAAAAGGTTAAAACCCCTTCGGGGAAAAAGTACTTTCAGATAGTCATTTCTTGTGAATATAACTATAGTGTGGATGATGACCATCGTAACATAGACTGCTATACAGATGGTTCACTTATCAAAGGTAAAGGAAGTGGTGCTGGAATCCATATACCTAAATTAGGTATCAGCATCTCCTCCTCTCTTGGTAATAACACCTCCGTTTTTCAGGCGGAAATGTGGGCCATTAATATGTGTTGTAGAACACTTATGGAAAATAAAATCAAGGGAAAAGATGTTAGAATTTTTTCTGACAGTCTGGCTTGTCTTAGGTCATTACAAAAAGATTTGTCAACATCTAGACTGGTGGAGGAAACTGTAGATCTTATCAATAGAATCACTTCCAGTTTGAGAACAGGGTAACCCTTGTTTGGATACCATGGCATTGAAAAGGCGGATGGCCTGGCCAAAGAAGGCTCTAATACGGAGTTTGTCGGGCCACAACCGGTAGTACCTCACTCTATGAGCACAGCGAAAGAGAATATTAAAAACTGGGGTATGAAACAATTCCTTAAGGAATGGAATCTATCCCCCGGACATAGGCATTCGAATGAGTTTGTTAAGGAGATCAAACCAGCAGAATCGAAATGGATATTTTCTACCTCAAAGAAGGGAATTAGGAAGCTGATAGGTATTTTGGTGGGCCACTGCCCACTGAGAAGACACCTCTTCGCATTGGATATTCTACCAGATCCCTTTTGCCGTTTTAGCGAAATAAAAGAAGAATCGGCAAGGCACTACCTCGCAGAGTGTGATAGGTACGCTAGGTCTAGATTTGAAACTTTTGAAGGAGAGGACATCACCAAATCACTCCCCGGGATTAAATGGTCCAAAATCTTGGGGTTTGTGAACAGGTCCAAGAGGTTTATGCAGGACACGTGAGCCGACCAAGTCCCGGACCTTTTAGGGATTTGGTACGAGTCTACCCAGGCATTTAACCCCTCGGGTCTTGGTCGCACACCCTGCATAATATATATACATACCGACCATGTTTTTCCTTCCACTCTGGCGACAAGGGGACGAATATGGGGATGCAAGGGAGACATGAAGCCGAGACGAACCAGCCGAGGACTTCAGCCCACCGTGGATGTGTGTAACCTCCAGTGTATTTACGAAGCTCATAGTCGGTTAGACTAAAAATCCATACGGACTAGACGAAGAACCAAATTAGAGAAATTTTGTCGTGAAGAGGATATGAGGAGAAATATTTCACTCACCAAAATGAGGCTTGGTGTTGTAACAGACCACGCTGATTTGGTCTGACAGAGGGTAAGCTGACCAAAATAAGCAATTAGACTAAAAATCCATACGGACTAGACGAAGAAACAAATTAGAGAAATTTTGTCGTGAAGAGGATATGAGGAGAAATATTTCACTCACCAAAATGAGGGTAAGCTGACCAAAGTATGCAAACTACAAATAAAATCCTGCACAAAAACCAAAAATGAAACAAAACTAAATGTAAATGGGCACTCTCAACACGACACGCAAGGATGGCACAATTACACAGAAGACAAACAATTTGAACCCTGAAGATGATCTCAATAAAAGATCGAAACGTTGGCACGATAAAGAAAATGTTTTTCTGAAACCTACATCACACCAGACCGCATCTCACGATATCTGAATAACTAAATGAAAATCTCACTCGTCAAGGGATAAGTTTTGTTCTGGATATCCAGAGATCGGGATTGTTAGATCCAGAGAAAAAATTATTCCTCAGAGAGGTGTTAGTAGTTGAAAGGTAAGTACTAAATAAAGGACCTTTAAATAAATAATAAATTAAAAACGTTGCTCTCATATTAAGATTAAAGCCAAGTTCACGATTTTTTAATTATTTATTTATGATTACTTTATATGTTTGCATGTTTGTGATTTATTTCGATCTTTTTAATATGTGATACAAATTAATTATTTATTTGAGAAAAGCAGAACGACGATCTAAATAACCTAAAATCTAAAAAAAGAATTGAAAAAAAATCGTTTCTTAATTGATTGCGGGCCTTCATAAATCCACGTCCCCTAGTGGAGAGAGGCGGCAATAATTAGTATGCCATCCCATCGAATCTAAAAGAGAAAAACATGATTAAGACCCAAGAAAGATGTCCCCACCATTTAATATGGGCCCGGATGACCAAACTTTTGTCCAGTCCCGATGGTGGTTTTAAGGTGGACGGTCTGGGGTCTGCTGATCCTCGTCGGGACGGCGAGCGTGTCCGCCCGGTCCTCCATGAGGCCACAGAAGCAGCAGCCCGACCCAGGAGACAACGAGGATTACGATCCGGAAAATACGGACTACTATGAAGAATACGAAGAGACGAACGGTAAGACTGTACGAACTAAGGAGGATTTCCCTCATATTGAAAATTGTTCATAAAAATACATGAAAAACCTTTAAATAAATTTCTTTCCACTCTTAAAGATAGTTATGTTCTGAAGAGTAGAAAACATCTCATCAGATTTTAACGTCTTTTTCTAAACTAAGCACACAAATTTTCAATGTTAGAGGCTCTTCTTCTCTCCATCTCTTCCTGAGTACAGTTGTACCTCCTTTTACACATTTGAAAGTTACAATGAACTTGAACAATACAATCAGATTTTTCCAGGATGAATCAAGTTTCTCAAGATTTTACTTTAGTGGAGGTGCCATTAATTTTACCCGCGGTTTTCTCTGACTCCTATTTTTTTCCTCAAGTCTAGTCTCACATGTCATTATAGACAACAGACTAAACGGCGAAATGCAGCGAGACCAGACGGACAACAGTTCGGTTTTCAACTTTTACCACGCATAATTTTGTTTTGACCTGGCTATTTTCGTTAATTAAAAAAACTACATGAAACGCTTGTAAATCTTAAAAAGTCCTCTCCTTAAGACCAAAGATCTTCTTTAGATATCACTGTTAATGATGGTCAGATTGAACATAGATCAAATTTCTGACTCTTTCGACGAGTCCCACAACACCATTTCTGATTAAACAAATTTTCCTTCATAAAGAAAAGCTCTGCTCATCACGTATGTGTAAGGAAAAAGTTAACAGATCCACGACGTCTTCAGGGATCTTTCCTGAGACCAAAGATTGCCGTTTCAAGCGGCTTAATTTGAATCGTACCTAAAGATCCTGATTCGATTTCAATCAACAACTTGCTCTATTTATTACTTTCATACGAAGATATTTTTTTAAATTTATCAAATGATAATTATGTTGTATGAGGTAGCTCATTGAATCTCGACTTTAGCGCTTCGCCAAATGTTCGGACTTGAGGATTTGATCGAGCGTTTCGTTCTTAGAGGGCAGTTCTTAGCAATGAACTAGGCGAAGTCCGTCCTTATAAACGATTGATTTCATAAACAGTAGCTTTAACCAATTTCTCCTGGACTTACGCTTTTCTGACAATTGAACTAACCCAAGCTTTTTAGCGGGAGATATAAAATATAAACTGCTGTCTTTAAATAAGTCGGTTGAACTTTAAAGTCACTATGTCTAGAAGGCAAAATCTCAAAGTTTATCGGCTTAAAATAAAACTAACGTTCTGCCAAAATCCAGTTATATTATTTCGCCATAAATTATCCATTTCTTAAGTTCGATTTGTTGATTATGAAATAACAAAAAGCCGGATTATTCTTCTTTCTTTATGAACGATATTGACAAATCAGAATTTTTTTTTGAAAATATACGGTTTTGTAAAATGTAAAAAAAATTTACCTACAAATATTTCAAGGTGGACGAATCAATTTTCCCACAATAAAGGGATAAGTGGGACCCATATATTGCCTTTAAATCATTGTAGTTTCATTTTACCTGAAATTGAAGTATTGGGTTGTCCGGAAAATAATGCAGGATTTTAAGTTTTCATTAAAAAAAATCTATATAAAATATTCTGTTTACGTTTACANGAAATTATTTTGATTAAAGAACATTGCTTTAAAGTAACTAGTTTCTTTTTTTTTGTTTAATACCAAAATCCTGCATTATTTTCCGGACAACCCAATAATTAATATATACTGTTTTAATTAATATGTTAATAATTAATATGTATTAGTACTGATCTAGCTAAATAGAATGTAAAATTTCTCTCAGATAAAAGAACATTACAATAACATTCAATTATTTAAGGTTTTAAGTTGAGATAAAAAAGTCAGTGTCACGAGCGGGATTCGAACCCACGACATTCGGCTTTTTTTATCTCAACTTAAAACCTTAAATAATTGAATGATATTAATTGGTCAAGCGAACTACGAAAAATAGTGAATTATAATAACAAATAATTATTTATTATTTTCATTTATGATCTTTTGTAGGTGCTCTTTGTGATTTAAAAAAAATCTATTCAGATAAAAAAAACAGACAGACAAATAAGCTATTGCTCCATAGTCCGCATTTCAATTTAAACAACTCATCCTTTAATTAACAGTGAAATACGGCTTCCATTTTAACATAAATCTCTCTGTGTTCAAAACAGAAAGAGGGCACACAAACCAGCTACAGACAATAATCATTTAGAATCAGTTTTTTAAAATTCAAAACCATTGAGTTATAATGATTTAAAATTGTTTGCAGCAACTAATGACTCTTTTAAGGAAGAAAAAGACAAAATCAACAAACATAAAAATATTTATAAAAAAAAAAATTGGAACCAATAATTAGTTTTATGTCAACCTATATATATTTAGCGGTCATAATTGGCCATATTAATTATTTCAATTGATTATTCTTTTTATCTAAGGTTGGTTGAGATGAAAAAGTTAGTGTCACGAGTGGGATTCGAACCCGGGACCTTCGGCTCAATATGCTGCTGCTCTAACCACTCGATCACGATAGCTCAACCAAGACCTTAGATAAAAAGAATAATTAATTGAAATAATTATTTTTATATTACACTGAAGAGTACTAAGTTCGGGCAATTTTATTATTCCATATTTTTTTTAACATTTTCTAATTTTTAAAGGCAAAATATTTTCAATGTAGTTTTAGTTCTTTGTTTAAAAAAATAGTTTTCTATTTACTAGTATAGTTTGACATCTAAATTACTAGTTTTCTGGATATGCTTTCATCTCATCCTTGAGTAATTATATCAATGAATTTATTGTTAAATTTTCTTAATTCTCACTTCCACAAGGCATACTTTTGGTTGTATTAATTATCAACAGTAGTAGTGTTATTTAAGATGGTTGTAAAATCAAAAAATAATAATAATTAGTTTTAAATAGTTTTATAATTATTTTGTGACGAGAACACTCACAAGGAGTCAACTCACTGATTTTTTTGTTATTTTTTTATTTGTTTTATTTTTATTATTTTTTTACCTTTTTTTTTAATGTCAATAGTTTTGATTGCAGACAGACCTAAGTCGCTCAGTGTGGGTTCAAATTTACATTGAATATTTCAATTAATTACACTTTTTATGTCAACAAAAACTTTAGATAAAAACTATAATTAATTTAAATAATTAAATAGGTCAATTACGACTGCTAAACATGTATGAATTACTTAAAATAATTTGTTGATGTTGTGAGGAGCAGTCAGGAATGAAGTATTTTAGAAAAATATTTTTTTTACTCAATGTTTCGACCTTTATTCAGCTTATCTTCAGGGCATAAAGTGTGGTGCAATTCATGTGGTGTCATATTGGTCTTGTGACAATGAGTGTGTTCACAACATTTTCACACAAAACTAATATGTCACCACAAGAATAGCATCACACTTTATGCCCTGAAGATGGCCCGAATAAAGGTCGAAACGCGTCAAATAAATGATGCCCGATCCTCAAGACTTCAACAAATTATTGAACAACCGATCATCACCACAAGAATAGCACCACACTTTATGCCCTGAAGATGGCCCGAATAAAGGTCGAAACGTCGTCAAATAAATGATGCCTGATCCTCAAGACTTCAACAAATTATTGAACAACCGATCACTAAAAACACACACATTACATTGAAAATTGGCTTATATTTATATTTTCACTATGATCCAATAGTTATAGTATTATGTATTTACGTGTTTATTTTATTATTTTTTTATTTTAAAGGAAATTCAACTGGTACGGACGTAAATAGGGATAATGATGAGGAATACGAACCATTCACGAGGTCACCAGGTGTGTATTACTCAAAACAAATTAAACATGGTTTTGTGAAAATCATTATATTCCTATATAATATATAATATTTCAGAATAAAAATGTGTGACTATGTAATAATAAATAGTTTATTTGTTTCTGATCTATATTTGGTTTTTAGAAAATGATCGTTCATCATTCACTCAGTCTCCTCAACAGTCTAGAAACGAAAACCGTGGAGGTAGCGATCAATTCACATATTTTTGAGAAACACTAAAAATACATGTTCGCGCCGTATATTTTAAAATGCAAAATGATTGTTTAGTTACTCAGGAAAGTGGAAGAAGTAAACTCTGCAGTTTTGGAAATGAGCTGTATGAAGATGGAGCTGAATGGAGACCTGAAAGATGCACAGATTGTATTTGCTTGCAGGGGAAGGTAGAATGCAAAACGAGAGATATTTGCTTAGCCGGTAAATCACCTAATTTATTTTTTCCCTACTTTTCTAAAACTGTATCAAATTAATAACTTTGTAAAAAAAATTTAGAAGGAAGATCTGTCTTCCCAAGTGAGTTCGAGGTAAGAATGATAAGATACAACAAATCATTATTTTTAATTCTGTCATTCTTTCTTTAAAATAAGATAAATTTACAGCCAGGAGTTCATGATCGTGGAAATGTAACAACACCACCAACAACCACAACGACGACAACTGCACGAGTACGAAGTTCCTTACTATTTTTAGTGAATGAGTAATATAATTTTTTTAACAACAAATTAATGTTTGTCTTCTATTTTAGGGCGTAAGGGGTCCTCCTGGTGAACCTGGCCATCCAGGTGAAATGGGAATTCCAGGGAGCCCTGGTACACCGGGAATTCCAGGGAGCCCTGGACATCCAGGAGTTGTGCCTGATGTAATAAGATATATTTACTTTTGGATTATTTTAAATTAACCTATTATATATTTTAGATTACGTCATATTACAATCAAATTGCAATGGCTAATTCAGGAAACAATAAAGGTCCAGCATATCCTCAAGAGGCATTGCATTATCTTCAAGCTCAAGTCGGACCCATGGGTGCAAGAGGACCTCCTGGTAAATATTTACTATGGGGCTGATTGTGATTCTTGAACAGATTTTATTAAAATGTACGTCTTTTTAACAGGCAATGCAGGTCCCCCTGGGCCCCAAGGGTTTCAAGGATTGAGAGGAGAGCCAGGTGAACCTGGGCCACAAGGCCCTCAAGGCCCTCCAGGACCACGAGGACCACAAGGATTGCCAGGAAAAGATGTAAGCAGTAAAATTACAATTTTTTTTTCAATTATGAAACAATACGATTTTTTAGGGTGCCCCAGGAGAAGATGGAGAAAGAGGACCGACAGGTTCCACCGGCCCTCCAGGCCCCAGAGGTTTACCAGGAATGCCAGGCACACCAGGTCTCAAAGGACATCGTGGTTATTCAGGTTTGGATGGCAGTAAAGGAGAACAAGGCCCGATGGGTGAAAAAGGAAACCAGGGTGCACCAGGCCCTGTCGGCCCTGCTGGACCAATTGTGTGTATACAATTACAAAAACTATAACAATTTAATGTTGGTTAAAATTTTAGGGCCAGGTTGGACCTAGAGGCGAAAGAGGAAGAGAAGGTGCACCTGGACCTCCTGGCATCCGGGGAATTGATGGTGCTCCTGGGCCTCCAGGCTCTCCAGTAAGTGCAAAAGATGAAATTACACTCGTGTTGAATATATTTGTATAATTTATCAAATTTGATAGGGAGCAATTGGCAAACCTGGCCCTCCTGGTTTTCCAGGATCTCCAGGAGCAAAGGGTGACCAAGGCGTTCAAGGTATTAAAGGTAGTCAGGGACTTCAAGGCCCAAGAGGTAAATAATACAAAAACATACTTATTCGAATTTAATTCTTATTAAAGTCTTAAATTTGTTTACAAAGGTGAATCAGGACGTCCTGGCCAATCTGGTGAAGCAGGAACACCTGGACTTCCAGGAAAAGATGGTGTACCTGGGGAAAAGGGTGTCCCTGGAGCCCAGGGTCCTCTTGGACCCCCTGGTTTCATTGGACCACGAGGACCACCAGGAGGTCCTGGAGCTCCTGGATTATTAGGACCCAAAGGAGAAATGGTCTTATTTCCTTTCTATTTCTGACTTAATACTGTATTTATGAAACTGCAATCCTATTTTATTATTCCTAGGGATTGCAAGGGGAAAGAGGCTTCAAAGGTGAAAGTGGACCGAAAGGTGAAACTGGTCCTATGGGGCCAAGGGGATTACCAGGTATGGACGGCCCGGAAGGTAAAAGGGGAAAGAGAGGACCTCCTGGACCCCCTGGTGCAATGGGATCAACTGGTGAACGTGGTGAACCTGGTGTTAGAGGCTTACCGGGACCTGAAGGACCAGCCGGTCCAAAAGGCAATAAATATACGCATTTTATATACAAAACATGAAAATAATCTATTTTTATTATAGGGCAAACGGGAGACAAAGGTCCTTCAGGTTTACATGGTTTGAAAGGAGCTCAAGGATCAGTTGGAAGACCAGGAAACCCTGGAATACAAGTATAATGCAATGAAATATTCTTATTATCATTTTAGATAACTGTGTTTGTACAAAAATACCTTATTAAAATTTTTCTTAATGATAACTTACTGTTAGTAATTGCAAAAATAGCGAACCATGGCTATCAAATGTAACATTAACATTTGTTATTAAAATTTAGGGCCCAAGGGGTCTTCAAGGAAGGACTGGAGCACCAGGAAAAATGGGAGCACCCGGTGAACGAGGGCCTCCAGGTGCTGATGGAAAATCTGGTGAGCCAGGACATCAGGGGCTTCAAGGTTTACCTGGACCAATAGGGCAGCCAGGGGAAAAAGGAATAATGGTAAATTAAAAAAAAAAAAAAATGAAAAAGAAGAAGATTTATACAAAAAATCACACTGGTGAAATCTTTTGTTTTTGTTTGATTTGTGTTAGGGCGATTCTGGAAAAGATGGTGAACCGGGAATACCTGGTAGTCCAGGACCAAGGGGAGATCCAGGCAAAGATGGATCGGCAGGACCCCAAGGACCAAGAGGCCCACCTGGACCAGCTGGAGAAAGAGGTCCTACCGGGCCTCCAGGTCCTACAGGGTTCCAAGGTCTTCCAGGAGCAAATGGCAATCCAGGTCCACCAGGAAAAGATGGTGACCCAGGACAGCCTGGACCACCTGGCCATCTAGGACCTCCTGGCTTAAGAGGAGAAAGAGGTGCACCTGGAGAAAGAGGATTAATGGGACCATCGGGACCGCAAGGTCTCAGAGGATCTGCTGGGCCAGGTGGTGCTGATGGTCCTCCCGGAGCGCCAGGAGCCAAAGGTGAAAAAGGACATGTTGGTCCCATGGGTCTCACTGGTTTACCCGGTGTTAGAGGAATGCTTGGGCCCCAGGGATTTAAAGGTGACCGAGGAGAAAGTGGACTGCCAGGACCAGAAGGACCTGCGGGTAAGATAATGCAGAAATTAAAGTCAGTACAGAAAACCTACTTTACTTTTTAATATTTAGGAAGACCAGGAGAACGAGGTCTACAAGGTGAGGTTGGGCCACCCGGCCCAGCAGGTGAGCCTGCTGAAAAAGGAGAAGTTGGTGCTCGAGGACTCCCAGGTGAACCTGGACCTCCAGGAAGTGTTGGAGATAGAGGAATGCCTGGATCTCAAGGGCTTCAAGGTTTCCCTGGACCTCAAGGAATATCAGGACCTCCTGGAGTTAAAGGAGAAAGGGGATTCTATGGTCCCAAAGGCTCTCAAGGAAATCCTGGAACACCAGGTAAATATATTCATTAAAACAGTAAAAATTCAATGATCTATAAAAGAACTCTAAAAGGACATGTCATAATGTCCATCAGCTTACTAACCCTTACCAATAATTTTACAATTTTAATTTATTTTAATCAATATTTTATTACAGGAAAACAAGGAGAACCTGGAGAGCAAGGTCCAGTTGGTTTCCCTGGAATGAAAGGAGCAAGAGGCGAACAAGGTCCGAAAGGTGACACAGGCTTTACAGGGATCCCTGGAAGGCCAGGTGAACCAGGTCATCCAGTAAGTATATTTCTAATTTACTTAAATTTTGATTTTCTACTCAACTGAAAATTTATTTTAGGGACAAGCTGGACCACCAGGACCCCCAGGACTAGCTGGTGCTCCTGGTATCAAAGGAAACGTCGGTGATTCAGGACGCCCAGGTTCGCCAGGACCAGTAGGAACTCCAGGTCTTATGGGACCGGAAGGACAGAAAGGAGATATAGGCCCTGTTGGTCCTCATGGCCCAGCCGGACCTCCAGGACCTTCTGGCCCTTCAGGTGAAAGAGGATTACCAGGATTGTTTGGTCCTCCTGGTCCTGCTGGTCTTCGTGGACCCAAAGGATCACAGGTAATTATAATTATTAAAATTATATCTCTATATTTCAAATTAGCACTTTTTTAAATTTTGTTTGTTTAGGGTGAGCAAGGAACTGTAGGAAGAACAGGGCCAGAAGGAAAATCGGGCCCCCCTGGATTGCCTGGCCCACCTGGACTTCATGGACCGATGGGAGATCAAGGTCCTGAAGGTCTTGCTGGAAAACCTGGTCCTCCGGGTCTATCAGGAAGGCCTGGAGATAAAGGGCCAGTTGGAGAACCTGGGCCTCCAGGAAATCAAGGACCAACAGGATTACCGGTAATTAAATTTACGCAATATTTATTTATACATCGAAAACCTTTTGACAATACCAGAAAACAAATCAGTGGTTTTTAACTAAATATCTTTTCAATAGGGTCCCCCAGGACACCAAGGACCAGCAGGGCCAGCAGGTGAAAGAGGACTAAAAGGTGAAACTGGTCCACAAGGAATAGAAGGAGCTACTGTAAATATTTCCTGCCAAATTGAAAAAAAAAATTACTTTTAATACTAATTGACATTTTTTGTAGGGTCCAAGAGGAAAGCCAGGTCCTCCAGGAGTTGAAGGAGCCAAGGGAGAAAAAGGTGAATATGGTTTACAAGGAATGAAAGGGCACCGTGGTCTTTCAGGCCTTCAAGGATTACCAGGATCACCGGTAAGTTTTTTTCTTTGTACTTGTCATAAGTTAGCAATTGATTATTCTTTATACAGGGATTAATGGGACCTAAAGGAGACCCAGGATTACCAGGCCCTCCTGGAAGACAAGGAGAGCAAGGAATAAAAGGTACCGCTTTAAGCTTTATTTTATAAAAGCAATAAATTTTTAAATTTGCCTACAGGATCGCAAGGAAGAGACGGTTCACCTGGTCCTCCAGGTCTTTTGGGACCACAAGGACCAAAGGGACCTCCTGGAGACCCTGGAAGGCCGGGAGTACATGGTGAGCCAGGGCCACCAGGACCACCAGGTTTACCAGGAGAACATCCAATTTATGATGCTAGTACTCTCGCTGCTCTTTTGTACACTTCACAAGGACAAACAAAGGTATAAAACTTAACTTTTTATGCTTTTTACCAGTTAACTACAAATACCAATTATTATTCAGGGACCAGATCCATCGTTTGGGGATGAACCGATGAGAATGTTCGGTAAAGAATTGGATGATGATGAAAAGAAAAAGATAGTATTTAAAGCCTACAACCAACTAAAGATCAGCTTTGAGAAATTCATGAAACCAGACGGATCAAAAACAGCGCCCGCCAGGTCTTGCAGAGATTTAGCAGTTGCATATCCACAGTTCCCTTCAGGTTTTGAAATCTCAACTCTTTAAATGAACAAAGCCTTATAACTTTTAATTCATACAGGTGAATATTGGTTGGATCCAAATGACGGTGATATCAACGATGCAATCCTTGTGTACTGTGACATCCCCAAGCGAGCCACGTGTATTTTCCCACAACCTCGAGAATCCTCAGAACTGTTTCATATAGGACATGAGCCAGAAATGTGGCTGTCTGAAGTAACAGGTGGAATGAAGGTCGGAAAATTTAACAAAAGACAAAAAGAAAAAAAAAATTCAGATAAAATTCATCGTTAATTTCCTTCAAAATTTCAGATTTCCTACAAAGCCGATAGTAATCAAATAGGCTTTATACAACTCCTTTCAGTCTCTGCTGTGCAAAATGTAACTTATCACTGCTACAATTCAGCCGCTTACTTTGATTCTACGCTGAAGACATACAGGAAAGGCATAAAACTGCTCGGCTGGAATGATGTTGAAATCACAGCAAGAGGAAATCAGAGATTGCGGTACTCAGTGCTCAATGATGGATGCAGGGTAAGCCTTTTCTGCTGCTCCATTATTATTCGTTATTATTAATCATTTCAAAATTTCAATTGATTTTTTTTAGGCTAAAAACAATGAGTGGGGAGAAACGTTGATCACTTACATGACTGATAAATCAATCCGCTTACCCATCACTGACATCGCTATCAGAGATTATGGAAAAGAAGACAATAAATTCAGAATTACTCTAGGGCCAGCTTGTTTTTCATAAAATAACGTTTGCATTTTTTATTTTGTTTTTCAATATTTTGTAAATCTGGTGGCAAATAGTTTCAATTGAGCTATTGCTCTGACAACCAACTTGTAAATACTGCCAGCTATCGTATTTTAATGTTCATATTCACATAAGGAATGAATCAATATAAAATATATATTGTAAATATGTTGATTCCATACAAAATTAATTGAACCAAATTTACGGGCTTTTTATTGTTTCAAAAAATTCTGAAATTATAGTTGATTGGAATACATAATAAAAACTTTTTATTTTCCAAAAAGGAACGAAAATTTTGCTTAACCTAATTTTCAAAATCAGCCACCATGACTATGAATTTCTGAAAAATTAATATGGGAAAATGCTTATCAGACCTTCAGAAAAAAACCCAATGGATTTGAAACTATTAATTTCAAATTCAGTAAAAGGAAAAGGAAAAAACCACTGGGGTCATGAAAATAACCCTGCCAAACTGCGGCTGGTTGAAAAAGAAGTTGGTCCCTGGCCTATCAGAATGGGTCAAAAAGGTTAAAGGCCTGAAAACACCTGTGCATTTAGTCATCCAAAAATAACTCACAACACACTCTGGCCATTATTCAAGAAAAAACAATGGCCAAGCCAGGTCTGACATTTATGGGCAAATTTTGATATAGCGTATAATGAGAGGCTAGCATTTTGGGATATAAACTTCGTTTTCATATAAAATTAGAGAGTCAGTAACAGATCGAGATGCTAAAATGGCTGAAGTTTGAAAAATACGCGTGAAAGAACAGGAAAAGGGCCAGTGATGACCTCAGCTGTTTATCATCCCAAAAAACTTCTCTTCTTATTCATATTATGTGTTCAGAGAAAGAACTTTTACATTTTCAAATGTTCTATGTGGGTGCAGATCACTAATCCTTAATCACTTCAGGGCCATAATTGGGGTATTTTAATTTATATATAGATTTTTTGTACGTTTATGTTTGTGATATATGTCATTTATTGGGATGAATGTATTTATTAGCAAGAATAGAAAGGTCCAAACTCCATGATCTCTGAGAAATATCGAATACTTGGGCACAAATGAAAGAGATATGTGTGGTATGAGTAAAATATGAGCGAAAAACAGTTTGTATTTGTATCGTTGTACTGAGTGAATGTATTTGTTAGTGTGCAAGTAGAGACCTCGAGGAATATCATGCACTCTCGGACAGTGTGAATGAAATATGATGTTTAAATGTAATTATTAGAGTGAAAGGAAGAAGAAGTTCTTCCCGCAGGAACATCAAGTACTCTGCAGCATAGATGTCAACCAGACTACCATATTTTTAAATATTTTTATTATGGTATAAAGTATTTTGTATTTATCATATGTCTAGTTTATCCTCAATTGACCGTACGGTAAAGATAGGCTGGGAATAGGATATGGTAAATGTTACTGGTTATCTTAACATACAAAGCATAATATATGTGAATATAACGTGACCGTAGTGTCAGAAAAATGAATTAGAAGGAGAGGAATAAAATGTGAGAAGGAAAAGAACAGCAAAGAAGAAAAGGGATGACTATGCATTTAGCGAAATCTGATGTGGATAACAGGATATATATGAATGGAACATGGCTGTTGTTAGAAATATGACTTAGAAGGAATAAAATGTGAGAAGGAAAAAAAAAGAACACCAAAGAAGAAGAGGGATGACTTGCATTGTGGGAACTCTGATGTAGGTACCAGGACAGAGAGAACTGGACGCTACAGGCTGACGAAACTAGCAAAATTATTAGCAGCCCTCACACACTTTGGGCCAAAACCACAAATTGTTGGCCCACTGCAAAGCATACTAAAAAGAGAACTGAACAAATGGGTGGAGAAAGAAATGACTAGACACTGGATGAATTCATCAGGCATATAATAATCAAAGAAATTCCTCAACATCTCAAGTAGGAAAACAAATCTCTCTCTCTCTCTCTATCTCTCTCTCTCACTCAGTAGGCAATAATTAGGGGGAAAACTATATTGCCTATTGCTTCTTCAAGGAATAACTGAGACAGAAACATCCGACACTGTCATGAAGAGGAAGAACCATCGTAGCCATGTTTTTTGTGGCTGAAAAGAGTTAGCACAAAAAACAGTACAGCATCATACAAAAGGTGATGCGTTAATATCTAAGATGTAAGTGAAGAGGAATGTGTAAGAAGGTTTGTAAATAAAGAAGAGCCAATTTCACAATAGATCTTTTAGGTCGCAGTGGAAGAAAGAGGACTTTAATCAACCAATGAGCCCAAAGAAGGGAAAAAATCTATAATTTCTATTAGGTTTCGTGATCCAATTGACCAAATAAGATGATGACCAAATTCAAAAGGTGGGGTTGAGATGGGAGGTTAGTATCTGAGTGGATCAAAGTCACGATAGCTCAAGTGGTAGAGTAGCGGCGTATCTAGCCAAAGGTCGTGGGTTCGAATCCTGCTCGTGACATTGACTTTTTTATCTCAACCAAAGCTTTAATTAATTGAAAATCTATTTATAATATGAATATTTATACCATCTTTCGACACAGTAGTTATTTTTAAAAAATTGGCTGAATGTGTTGCCTCATGCCGATTAGCTTCCTTGTGATCACTGTAATGTATAAATCACTTGCATATAGGGAATATGTATATATAAATCAAGATAATTAGAATATAACTAATAACTAATATACAATATACACCAATGGCTGCAACGATTTGGAATTTCTGACACTTTCTAATGTGGGTTTTGTAATTTTGTTTTTTCATATTACTTTTCACGTCAGATCAGCTATAACCGAATTTATATAATACCCAGGGATGATTAACATTACAAAAATTGGCAATATCATTCACTATTTAATTTAAAACAAATGGATGTTGAAAATTGATGATAATCGTTGCATGTCACTTTCACATCAATTGATGAGATACTAAATCTTGAAATATGACTGAGTTATACAAGAGTTTCTATTAGTTCCTTAGATATTCTGATGAATTATATAATTAACAAACATATTTTTGCACATTTCCACACCATCAGATATTCTGACACATTAATTGATCAATTTCAAAATTATTACAACAGACTTTCAACTATGACACTATCAGTATCTTGTAAGATAATTTTTACTTTTACCAAATGATATTCTGATTTGGGTCAGATTTTCATTGAAATTGAAATAGATCCAAAGTTTATCAGTAATATATATGTTTCATGTATGAGATAATTTTGTTTTGTTATGTGTTTAGTGTATAATATCCAATATACAAAGAAAAAAANATGACATAATTTTGTTATGTTTGTTACATGACATAATGTTTGTTAAAAAAATTAATTATATATATATATATATATATATATTGTGTGTGTGTGTGTTTCATGTATGACATAATTTTGTTTTGTTATGTGTTTAGTGTACAATATCCAATATATATATGCTATATAAATATGTATACAGATAAATCCTATACATAGGTAGGTATGCTAAGCAAATATTCTCTTTCTCTCTGAAGAGGTCGATACATTAAATTCGTCCATCGATTATTGCAAGTGTGTATATAGAAACTAGGGGGGAAATATTATTCATATCAGAATCTTTCTAATTACACAGCATTTTTTTTTTTTTTACTGAATGTAAAAATTTGTTTAAAATGGATTTTTTTTTGGGGGGGGGAGGCTCAACAATCGATGTTGACACAAAGTTGACACGAGTGTTTGACAACTAAAAATCTTTCTGGAAAAAATGTTTTAAATTTATGTTCAATCAAACTATTATAGTTAGATTAATAAAGAATTAAATCAGTTAAATCGGGCAATACTCTGACAGTGGAGTCCTGTTTGAGAGGGCGTCTCAGTTGAACGTTGGAGCAAAATCAGCTGTCCACCTAACAACAACGTTATCTCTTGATTTCGAGGTCATCCGTGTTGATTGTAAACTGGAAATGGGCTGTTTACGTTTGACGTAGCTGGCGATCAAAAGACGGACGGATTGAAAATTCGATACCCCAGCATCTTTTGATGTTACCCCTCGATGTTTTACGGTTCGCAGGAAAGCACATTCCCAGTCGTCCGTATATCGACGTGGCGCGAATAACTCACACGATGAATTTATTATAACACGTTAGCAACAAGGGAAAAAAGTTAAAATGTGGGTGAAACCGGAGGAAGTGCTCATCGCTACTGCCATGTGGTAAGGGACAATAGAAAAATCTACAACAAACTATAAACAGGCACAAAAACCTATACAACACACGTCTTAACAATTTTTTATTGTATGCCATTGTTCTTTGGGTTAACTGATGTTGAACATTTAGTCTGAATGCACTGTCAGTATGGAATAAGTCGTCAGATCGCTGAAACGCACTTGTCATTCGTTGTTATCAGCAATGACTAGTTTCATATGGGCATCTGGCAGGCAGGGTGTGACTACCTTCATTGCCAGATCACTAGGAACGAATTATTATATCCTTGCCCATATAATAATAAATTTTGCATGATTTATTAATTGAATGTCAACTTTGATTAGCAAAAATTATAATTTTGTTTTCATTGATCGGGCAATTATCAATTTACTAATTGTCATACTTATTGAAAATGGCAACTGGCAATTTGTTTGATATTCAGCTCATGTACAGTGAAAATTTCATGCTTTTTGCTCTAACGATTCAAAAAATTCTTACAAATTAGGGAAATAGTCTAAATTTACTTGTGTTTTTTTACCTTGTATTTAGCCATCTATTTTACTTGGCGTTGATGGCCCCTGGAGGGCAGCCAAACAATATTTGCAAGACATTTATTTAAAACAAAAACTGGCAATTTTGTTTGATTATTCATCTCATGTACAATCAAAATTTCATGCTTTTTGCTTTTAAACTTTGACAAATTTGTACAAACAAGGCAGAAAGTCTAAATTTACTTGTGTGTTCAAGTCTGAAATATATGCTTACCCCACTGGAAGGTACATTAATTAACACCTTTTTGGTATATTCCTGCAATATTAATCTAAATTTGGCATACTCATTTAAAATGAAAACTGGTAATTTTGTTTGATTACTCAGCTCATGTATAATCAAAATGTGCTTTTTGCTTTTATGCTGCGACAAATTCGTACAAATAAGGCAAATTGTCTAAATTTACTTGCGGGGTTGAGGTTTAAATTATACTATTTTTAATTCTCACTGGAAGCTGCATTAATTGACACATTTTTTATATATTCATCAAAATTTAGTTTAAACTGGTCTTTAACGATATTTAGTTACATCTTTGTATCTGGCAGGAAAAGTGTGACTATCTTCTTTGCCACATCACTGGAAACATATAAATATATTATTGCCCATTTCTTATATTATGCATGATTTTTTCATTGAATTTCAGCATTGATCAACAGAAATCATAATTTTACAGTTAATTAAGGTTTTCAGTTGAGATAAAATGGCATGAGCGGGATTCGAACCCACGATCTTCGGCTTGATACGCCGCTGCTCTACCACTTGAGCTAATGTGTCCTCGATCCACTCATACACCAACCTCCCATCTCAACCACACCTTTTGAATTTTCCCTCCTTTTTGCCATTCAAGCGGACCACGAAACTAGTGAATTTAAGAGATCATAATATTTTTATGTAAGGTTTTGATTGAAATGAAAAAGTTAGTGCCAAGAGTGGGATTCGAACCCATGACCTTTGGCTAAATACACTGCTGCTCTACCACTTGGAATAACATAAAACTGCATAAAAAGATTAATTAATTGAAAGAAGTAATTTGGTCAATAGACTACTAAATATAATATAAATCATAATTTTTATACCTTGATTCAGTAAATACAAACTTTTGCATGATATACTGTTCAAAATGAAAACTGGTAATTTTTTGACTATTCAGGTCATAATCAAAATACCATGCTTTTTGCTTTAACGATTTAACAAATTCTTACAGATAAGCAAAATAGTCTAAATTTACTTTTTTTTTTTTAATTTAACATTAAATAGTTATTCTTTTTTCTTTACTGCCGACTGCTACCGATTGCGGCGAATAAAAACCTTTATTTTTGTTTTTGCTTTATTTGCTTTTTAGTTCCCACTGGAAGGTACATTAATTGATAACTTTTGGATATATTCTTGCAATATTAATCTAACTTTACTTGAAATTGATCATTTGTTTGATTTTTCGACTTCAATCAAATTTTCAAACCGTTCACTGTATTCAAACCCAGGACCTTTAACTTGAGTGATGTACACCGTGCCAATTCCTAAACCATTGTGATCACTGATACCCTCGTTTTTAGTTCTTATAGGTGGAGGAAATTGGGTTCAGATGAAACTATCATTCAGCAGTTTAAATATTACGCCTTTAGTTCCCTCTGGAAGCTGTATTAATTGACAAATTTTTAAAATATTCATCTGCATTAATTGACAAATTTTTAAAATATTCATCTGCATTAATTGACATGTTTTTAAAATATTCAGTTGCATTAATTGACAAATTTTTAAAATATTCATCTGCATTAATTGACAAATTTTTAAAATATTCATCTGCATTAATTTACAAATTTTTAAAATATTCATATAAATTTATTTTAAACTGGTCATTTGTCTGATTTTTCATCTTTTTTCTAATCAGAATTTCAAACCGTTTACTTTTATGATCATACAAATTCTTGTAGATAGAGGAAATCGGATTTAGGTGAAACTATCATTACGCAGTTTAAATAATACACCTTTAGTTCCCTCTGGAAGCTGCATTAATTGACAACTTTTTAAAATATTCATCTGCATTAATTGACAAATTTTTAAAATATTCATCTGCACTAATTGACAAATTTTTAAAATATTCATATAAATTTATTTTAAACTGGTCATTTGTCTGATTTTTCATCTTTTTTCTAATCAGAAATTCAAATCGTTTACTTTTATGAGCATACAAATTCTATTAGATAGAGGAAATTGGATTTACGTGAAACTATCATTACACAATTTAAATAATATGCCTTTAGTTCCCTCTGGAAGCTGCATTAATTGTCAAAATTTTGATATATTCATCTAAATTTTGTTTAAACTGGTCATTAACAAAATTTAATTACATCTGGGTATCTGGCAGGAAGGGTGTGACCATCTCCTTTACCAGATCACTAGAACAAATGAATATATTATTATCCATTTATTATATTTTGCATCATTTATTCGTTAAATTTCAGCTTTGATTAGCAGCAATCATAATTTTTATACATTGATTGAGCCAATATCAATTTTTGCATGACATACTCATTTAAAATGAAAACTGGTAATTTTGTTTGACTATTATTGGCAGCTCATGTATAATCAACATTTCATGATTTTTACTGTTACGCTTTGACAAATTCGTACAAATATGGCAAAAAGTCTATAGTTACTTGTGTGTTCAGGTCTAAATTATACGCTTGTTAGTTCCCACTGGAAGGTGCATTAATTGACAAATTTTTTGTACAATCCTGCAGTGTTCTTTTCAATTTACTTGAAACTGGCCATTTGTTTGACTTTTCAGCTTATGTATAATCAAGATTTTACTTATTGTGCTCTTATGGTCCAAGTTCTTGTAGATACAGGAAATAGCCTTTTCAAAAATATAATTTATTTTTCTTCTGTTGTGTGTGTACAAATCTAGTTGAGACTCAGCCTCTTATAGTGCACATTTACACTAATAAATACATTCAATGTCAATAAAAAAAGAAATATAAAACAGCTTTATATTATAACATCGTAATGAGGATAAGCAGACTAGGATGATCTGTAATAAACAAATATTATGTTTATCACCCTGCAAACAACAGAAAAATATCACAATAATAGAATAAGCTGATATTTACCTATTAAATTTTTTTTTTTTTGTAAATTTTGTATTAGTATTAAATTTTTTTTTATTCTAGGGACACAGAACAAAACAGCCTTTATTTTTCTATGCAAAAGAGAAAAGGCCATGGTGATAAGTCGACGTTAACCTCCATATTAGTCGGGACGCTGGATAACATATTTGACACCAAGCCGGCACCTTACAGAATACTGCACCAAACTCCAAATTCTGAAGTTTATTATGGTAAGAATGAACTTTTTTTTCCTTCCCCATATCAATTGACATCCGTTGATTTTATAGTCATTGCCTGTTCGATATCACACAAAGAGATTGAAGACCATTGGACTTGGCTTCAGCAGAACCTAGATTGTCTTAACCAGTTTGATAAGGAGGAAGATGTGACTCAGTACGTCTGCACTAAAATTGAGTCAATGGTATCGTCCGCTTCAAACATCCCGCAGATGAATTGTGACGGTATGTTTAGAATTTTTGTTTGTAAGTGTAAGTACAAGTATAATACGGCAATTGGTAATTAAAAAGGTTTCATCATTATTTATCTTTCTCAGCAAAAATGTAAAAAAATATCCTGGTAAGACATCTTTGAAGAAAAGTTGAAGTTACACGTTTTTGGAAAAATATTTAGATTTTTAATACAGTACACTTATATATTTAAATATTAACTTTTGAACAAATGCTTTTTATACTGTAATAACAAGCTATTACACATAAATCTGCACAAATCTTTAAAAATAAATTATATAGAAGAAACATTAAAGAATGAAAATAAAACTAATAAGTATTTTATGTAGCTCAAAACAGTTGTGTAGTTTTGCTCAACTTTTATATGTAAAACTGAGAACGTAGCCAATTAAACAGGAAGTTGACTACTAATTATCTCTTAAAGATACTGGTAGAATTAAAGTTTTGTAATATAATAGTTTATACTGACAATTCTTTTTATTCAAATTTTTTAGAAATTTTTTTGAAGTAAATTATTGTTGGTTTGGAGTTGATCTTTTTCTAAGCTAAACACAAATTTAACTGTAAATCGGAAACGTTCAAACAGAATAACTTTTATTGATATTGTTATTGAACTAAGATAGTTTTGTATCTCATAGATAGTCCAATTGACTACCATTCCCTTAGAGAGACGTAATCTACAAAGGTCATATTAATATTTAAAAAGCACAAAAGATTCAAATGTATTAGTTCTTTATTCTGCCAATTGGTGACTGTAGAGAAGAAACTATAAACGGATTTGACTGGAAATGATGAGTACTTTAGGTATTAAAAAAATATAATAAACTCAATTTCATTAATTGTTTAATATAATATTTAATATCAGTAAATGAAGTCGATCATGAATATCACATGTTTGTAAACTTCATTGCTGTAATTTCTTCCTAAAGAATCATTTAAACTGATATGTTAAATTGAAAATTTTTCATAATTGCATAAATTTCACAGGGGCTTATCTTTGCCAAATAAAGCGAACTTCCTTTATAAAATAAACTTTAAAAAAAAATTTGCTAATCATTTGATAAGTTTTGTGTTTGACATGATTGGTTCAAAACAGATCATCTTATCATGTCTTGAATATTCTTATTATTTGCATGACTGCTAAATAGACAGATTGGGTCTGATTTCTTCAGAATGAGTTGAAATCACTTTCGGTTAAGATGACTACCGGTTTTTTCTGCGTATGCTATTCAGAGCAGGGGTCTTATCTCATCATACTTAGTGAGTACCAAAAAACGGTTTGTGTAGGGTAAATTTATTTTAAACTAACCTTCTATTTAAATTATATTTGTCTTAAGAATTGAATATTACAAATATACAGAATTCATCTCGGGTTGTCCAGACTATTTGATGTAAGTTAAAAATTCTCAATATTTCAACTTTTAATTTTCGATTATTTCTATTGCTCTAGTAGCTATCTGAAAATTTTTGGTTGTAATAAATTTAATGTACAAGAAAAAGAACAGAAAAAAATTAAAAGTTGTATTATTAAACTTCAAGTTTACATCTGTGGAGTTCATACAATTCCTGCAAATCTTGGAAAATCTTTATTAAAACTATGACGCCTGGGGTTAACATATATTAGAATAATAAGGGAATTGAAGTTTGGGTTCAAATCCTTCTCGTGACAGAAATTTTTCATTTCCAAAATCTGTAACTTTCATTTGATTGTCTCCAGTTTATCAGTATTGTTTGCCAGAATCGTTTCTGTGCTATAAAAATGTCAATTGTTATAAAAAGATGGATGGTCTAGATAAAAGAATGACATTTAATTGCCAAGTTTTCATTATGGCTGAACAAAGTAAACTATTATAAAAAGTTAACATTTAATTGAAAATTTTTAAGATTTACTACTATTTGTGGCTAAAAAGTCTTTTGTACCACGTCCATCAGGAATTTTATTAGCCTCCATGTTGTTTATATTGATTCTAGATTTTTTCTTGCTGGGTTAACCTTTTCTCTGCCTGGAGTAGAAACCATATTACTTTATTATTATTATTATTATTATTATTTTAGAATATTCAATGAAACTTCCCTATAACGAACACTCTTGGGTTATCCATTTGGGATAAGACTGAAAAAATGTTTAGTGTTACAATATGGGTCTCAATGGGAATAAGATATCGACACCTTTACAAAAAAACTTTTTAGTCTTTTCTATGACCAGAGGGTTTTTCAAAGTCACCAAACATACTTTTGCACAAGAGCAAAGTTAAATATTCCTTTGGAACATTTTCTCTTTGGCAATGCTCATTTTTCAACTGTATAGTTTTATCCAGAAGTTCTCTAAAAACTAACTAAAGCCGTCTAATTGCTTTTGAAAATGTTTTTTTCCCCTTCAAAATTGGTGCAATATTGTTTAAGTTTTCCCAGTTTCATATAACCTCGATCCTGCACTCTATTAATTGTCTTAAAAGAAATCTTATGCTGTGTTCTAAATTTGGTGAACCGGTCTGGAGATGTAACTTGTTTGCCCTAAAAGTTTACGGCTTTTTTTTTTGTATAAGCAGACTGGAAAGTAGTATTTTACAAATCTGAGCACTGCAAAATAATCAAATAATCCTGATCTATGACGAAAACCAGACGTTTTAGGATCTGTGGGATTGGTCATTGCTGTGTTTGTAAAATTTATACAAAATTTCCTTTTTATTCTTTAGAAATTCAACATGCAAAGGTCCCTTCAATAGAAAACTTCGCAGCAAAGTCACTCACACTTAATTTTCCACTTTCACTCATTTTATCATTTTATTTAAGTACCAAAAGCTGAATTTCCATTGCATGAAAAAATCACTCGCCCAACTAAAAAAAAGAATTATTTGTGAAAAGCCGTCTCGGATTAACCATTTTCACAAGGTGAAACATTTCACAACATAGAGGCGAAACAAGGTGAGCCATCAGTTTGCACGAGACAAACATTCTGTTTATAACTCCACCAACTGCCTCAGAATTTGCTATCATGGTGATTGTGTTGTACTTTTTTGATGCTTATTTCCTTTCACACATTCTCTCTCTCTTGTTATGGTGATGTTGGCCAAAGAGGGGGCCAACATGTACTCTTTGGGTCCTGAACCGTACTATGGCTTAGCATCCTGCCAGTAAAGAGAATACATCTTAAAATGGATCCTTAATGAGTCCAAAACCTGGTGGAACAATACCACAGGTATGAGGCATGCGAAAAGAAATTCATAGAAGGACCATTCACAAAACTTACAAAAGAATTAGAAAAGGCAACTGCAAACGAACCAGAATTCTGGTTGGACTACTGATAGGACATTGCCAGTTAAGAAAGCACATGGACTGGATAGGAGTGCAGACAGAAGAAACACTGTGCAGATACTGCCAGGAAGAGGAGGAGACTGGCAAACATATTTTATGTTTCTGTGAAGGTCTAAGGACAAGAAAAACTGTAAGCAAGATCCTACACAAAGAAGCCGCGGACAAAGCTAGGGAATCTGATTAACAACCTGAAGTGGGGCTGCAGTAGCCGAGTGGTTAAGGTGTCAGACTCTCGGCTAGTAGATCCCGCGGTCATGGGTTCGATCCCCACCGTCGCCTCTGGACTTTTTCTGACGCCTAAGGGTACTGGTGGCCGTAGTTGAAAGAAATTGACACGGCACTCATCAATGGAAGGAGCAGGATCAGATCTCAGCGACCCTGAATTTGGTCCCAACCCCTTCAAAAATGAGTTTCTTCGATGGAAGAACACCGGTACACCGGGGGCTCAAATTCACACTTGTGTTGCGAGCCCCCAAAAATGGAGCCCCCAGGGATAAAGTACAATAAGCTGTACAGCTGCAGTGCTCAGGAGGGAACTCCTCCAGTTCCTGGTATCCATTGTAAAAAAAGGGGGGAAAAACCTGAAGCTGGCCAGTGAGTTATAAAATACAGGGGTGCACAATAGATCTTTTCAGGTCGAGGTGCAAAGGGCCTTGTGACCGCCTCTTTCACTCCTATCCCTTTATCTTGTTTCGGTGAGTTTTATCTTTAACATTCCACAAAATCAGTAGCTGAGATACATTCAGGTTCAATCTCATACTCGAGACTAGTGCGTTTGCTCGAAGAAAAATAAACGACGCGTTACACTTTGATGCACACTAAAAAACAGACTGCCAGTTGGCTCACCCTGAAACATCCTGCCAAAATTTCCTCAGTCCCGGCAAGGTATCCACGACGTGAGACAAGTTTTGCATAACAGTTGCATGAATTATTTTTGCACTCAGTTAAACGCACTGAAGAAGTACTTAAACATGTTGACAAAGTGGCATAATTAGAATGTAAGAATATTGGGAAAGTATTAGAAGGGAAATAAAACACATAGGAGAAATGGCATTTCTCAGAAAACATTAATTTTCTGGTGGCTGCTGTTCGCTTTTGGGATAGTTCTAGCCAGAATATGTTGGAAAAAGCTGTCTATTTCTGTTATTGGGAGTGTCTGCTTTATAGCAGATTTTAATATGAAGAAACTAATGGGAACATGACAGGGAATCAAAATTTGTCCGTTCCAGCAGTGTCTGCTTTTTGAGATGTTAGTTAAGGGAAGTTTCCATGATGGAAGTTGGTTACGGTATTAGCCACTCATTTTGTCAAAGACCGCATGGTGATGGGTTCAATTCTCACTGAATCCCCTAGAATTCTCTAACCCCTTCTAATCCCATTAATGCTTTGTAGTCAGATAAGCATTGAGCAGTATGCCACCTGTATTTCAGCCCTAGATGTGGCTAATGAACACTGTCATCGGTAGTAATTTCTAATACTGTTTAAGATTGCATTAAGGCCCTATCAGACTTTGGAAAAAACCTTTATTACGATGGCACACAGGGCAGAGGGGCAACGAAGAAGCCGATAAACTGGCCAAGGAAAGTTCCATCAGAATACTTACCAGTCCTGAACAGTTTTGTGACATACCAAATTGCCAAAACATAGGCCCAGTTCAATGTGATTGAATTGCAGAACAAAGACAAGCAAAAAAGTTCATAAAAAGATCATAAAAAACTAATGGTACATATTAATATTAAACCTAGAAGGACTGCTGACTGGACACTGCAAACTCTAAAGGCGTATGTAATAACAGAAACAAGTCTGTGTGGTATTACAAGCGAAAATGTGAGGAAAAAACTTTTTTTTGCACTGGGGTGACCAGACTCGGGCAGAGACGAGGGTGCCCTTGGCAAGGTTGAGTGAGGCCTGGAAGAGTCCGAAGACGCGCAGGTGGTATTTGGAAGCCAAAGGAGGCCCAGCCAGGGCTCAGTGGGGACACTGGCGAGGAGTAGGGCCCGACCGGGTGAACAAGGAGGCTCGAGTTGAGACGGATCGGTGTGGACGAGTAAAGGAAATGAGCATCAAAAAAAAGTACAACAAAAAGTAAAAAAGGAACGTGATAGTGTTTTATTTAATTATTTTGGGATTTTTTCTCATCGTCGTAGAGGGTTCACGTGTGCGAGGGGAGAACCGCTCTGGAACGAGAAGGAAAAGAATGTACACAAGGTTCGAGCTTTTAATTTATATTATAAAATTGGTTTCTGAACAGTTTTGTTTTTGTTTTAATTTTGAAGTTTTTTTATTTATTTTTTTTTTTTACATTTTATTCACAATACAGAGGACATTGATATTTTACTTGTTTTTTATTTTTTTATCTTGTTATCTCCCCCCATGAGTTTCACTGTTTTCCAAAAAGAAGGAAAAAATATAAAAACAGTGTGGCACCCGATTATTTGACTTTTGGAGATGAAGCAGCCATGGAAAAAAATCTCCATTGAGCCCCAGGTACCTGGTGACTGGGTGAATTGCCAACAGTCCGGCGAGGAACCGGTGACAGTGGATATTGCCAGGATAAAGAAGAGAAAGAAACGGGAAAATTTCCTTTGTTGGTGTGAAGGCCTGTGCAGGTTGAGATTTCTACTCCTGTGTGAGGAAAAGCCGAGGCATGAAAAATACACATGGGTGTCCTTGACAATACTTTAGGATCTGATCTTTAGATAATTTGGAAGATAGAAGAATTTTGTCTCTGGCTTGTTCCTATGGAAGATACTTAATAATAGGATGGTCCCTGGAGATCTTGTCCTGAATTGTTATTAGGGACTCTCAGCACCGATCCGCTCATGTTCCCCAACATAGGAAGAATTATGGGTCAGAATTCTGTCTTTCTCGGAGAATTCAGCACATTAATCGATATAGAGATGTTGTGGCTCCTTTCTCTGACTCCTCATCAGTTTTCAAAAAGATTTTACGAGCTTTAAAACAGTGATTCACTGAGTTTGTTTATTTTTATTTATTTATTTAAATTGTTTTTTTCCTCGGCCATGAGTTGTATTTTTATCTATAACAGTTATTATCCAGTGGTAATCTATTCTTTTGAATGAATTTGATTTAAATTCTAAATTTTTATGTATGTTTTTTGTACTCTTGACTTTCAATTTTTGGCCATTTCACCTGTTTGAACTGAATAAAATGAATAAATAAATAATAATGGAGATTGCACAATAGACCAATTTTGGTTGTAAATAGGCCAACTACTTTTATGTTATTAACATTACTATTCACCTATATAATTTACTTTGTTGACCTGTTTCTTGATTTGAAATTAAATCGCCGTGTAACTTTTTATTTGTATTTTCCAGATGAGCGCACAAAAAAGTGCAGGCAAATTTTTAAATTGCCTTCAAACGACCGATTTGTCAGCTACTATTCATGCAGGTCTGTGTCATTTGACAACTTTCGCAATATTTGTAAAACTTAACGATTTTTTTTCTATTAGTTATTGGTACAAAAAGGTCCCTCTCCATGGTTGGCTCTACCTGACGATGCAACATATATGCTTTTATGCTTATATGTTCGGTGTGGAGAAACAGTTCGTTGTGCCATGGAGCGAGGTGACAAAGTTGGAGAAGACGGCTCGTCTCTTTTCCCTTGCGTCAATTTGTGTCTACACGAGACATAAGAAAGTAATATAATAAAACATAAAAAAAATTGTTTTGTAATAAATTTCTTCTTATGTTGCAGTTCTATTTTTCCATGTTTGTCAACATAAATGACACATACAAACTAATGCAGCAGCTTGTTAATCTGGCAATGAAACAGTGAGTTTTAGTTAATTTTGTTTATATTTGATCTAATTTTAATTATTCATCTCAGATTAATGGATGATAAAATGGAGTTCACTGAAGACAAAGAACTTCTGAATAAACTGAGGTTTGCTTTAAAAAAAAAGTTTACTCAACTTTTCTTATCGACTTTAAAGATATTAATAAGTTTTCTTTTCCAGCAAAAATGTGAGCAAAAAGCAGACATTCTTGAAAAGGGATTTGGATGCGAGAGCTCTCTCTGCGTCGTATAGATTACAATTCCGTTTACCTCTTGCTGAGAAGGTAGATGGTAGAACTGATGGTACTCTGTGGACCCCTTACAATAAAAAGCATGTCTGGGGATTCATTTATGTTTCACAAAATTACATTTGCTTTGACAGCAGGGTAATTGCCATCTTGATCTTCCTCAAATTGTTCCGCAATTGATAGGATTTTTCACAGGTGAAAGACCTAGTGCAAGTTGTCATCCCTCTCAGAGACATTTACCATATAGAAAAATGTGACAAAAGGAGTTCATTGTCAAATGTTACTGATTCCATTTTGATAACGACGAAGACACTGTCGAGGCCTTCTTTTCTCTTTTCACAAATCAGCGATAGAGACTTCTTAATTGAGAAAATAGAAGAACTTCGTTCTAAACTGAAAGAGTAAGTTTTAATGAGAAATTTAACATTTTATTATATATTGATATGTAAAACATTTTAGCCCCAGTGATTCTGAATCTGCAGTTGATGATACTTCCAAAGGTAAGATTGCAAATTTAAAGTTATTATTGCTTTTTTCTAAAATATTGACTTTATTCGGATTTCAGAAAAATGGGAGTGCACCAAGCCAATGAGGATCCTTTTCAAAAAGGATATGCCAAAAGAGGTCAAGGCCCAGGAAGAAGTCAAAATAAAGCAATGGGAGATGCACTTTGAACAATTCGGTCGAGGTATATCCATGTACAAAACGACTGACATAATGAAGTTGCTCCTACGTGGAATCCCTGATGCCATGCGAAGGGAACTTTGGATGAATTTTTCAGGTATTTTAAGCACATCTTTTTTAACATTTGCATACTAGTAATAATAATAATAATAATATATATATGTTTTTTTTTTTTTTTAATTTTTTGTGTGCTATCAACAGCCAGGTCAAGTCTGCACCTAAGACAGTTCCAAACCCATTTGTACTTATGTTCATTCTTAAATACATTCATTCCTATTTACATATTATTACAGTTAGGGTAATGGAGTATTTGATATTCTGTCATCGACCCTCTCACATCACACATTCACACTAATAAATACATTCATGTGCAACACAACCTTATTACGAACAACCCGCACAACGAGGACAACAATCAAACCAAAATGTACACTTTTACAATAAATTTATTTAAAATTAACAATTAAATAACAAACCCTTTCCCAAAGAGTGTAAAGAAAATGAAATAAACAATGCTAATGTGAGTCCAATTGGTCGGTCGAGCCGTTCCCACTTGAGAGATGTCCTGCCGCCAGTGACAGTGAGTGTGGAGACAGGGCGGTGTCCATCTTCTAAGTCCGCAGCCAGCACTTTTCAAAAAAAGCAGGAAGATGTACAGGTTATCACATGAGTTGTCTCCAGGCCTGGGCTAGCTCTGCTGTCCCCGCTTCGTTGCTCCTCAATCCCCTCTCTCGCTTCGGCAGTTTGCCGGCCGGTGTGCTCTCCTCGTTGCGCAGGTTGTTCATAACTTTACACATATTTTGCAACTAATCTTATTGCGGATTGATGGGGTACTCTATATTCCACCATAGACCTCACATGACACATTCACACTAATAAATACATTCATGAGCAACACAACCTTTACACATATTTTACAACTAATCGTATTGCGGATTGATGGGGTACTCTATATTCCACCATAGACCTCACATGACACATTCACACTAATAAATACATTCATGAGCAACACAACCTTTACATATATTTTACAACTATCTGATTGAGGATTGAAGGGGTACTGTATATTCCGCCATGGGCCCTCTCACATCACAATTCACACTAATAAATACATTCACTCTCAACACAACCTTTACACATATTACAGTTAATTGAGGTTTTTAGTTGAGATAAAAAAGTCAATGGCACGAGCGGGATTCGAACCCACGATCTTCGGCTTGATACGCCGCTGCTCTACCATTGACTTTTTTTATCTCAACTAAATACCTCAATTAATTGTAATATAGTAATTGGTCAAGCGGACCGCGAAATTAGTGAATTGAACTTTACACATATTTTGCAGCTAACCTAATTGAGGGTTGATGGTAAACTCTACTCCACCATTGACCCTCTCACATGACATTCACACTAATAAATACATTCACTCTCAACAAAACCTTTACACATATTTTGCAGCTAACCTAATTGAGGGTTGATGGTGAACTCTACTCCACCATTGACCCTCTCACATGATACATTCACACTAATAAATACATTCACTCTAAACACAACCTTTAGACATATTTTGCACCTAACCTAATTAAGGGTTGATGGTAAACTCTTCTCCACCATTGATCCTCTCACATGACACATTCACACTAATAAATACATTCGCTCTCGACACAACCTTTACACATATTTTACAACTAACCTAATTGAGGGTCGATGGGTACTTGATATTCTGCCATCGACCCCCTCACATCACACATTCATGCTAATAAATATATTCTTTATCGCCTACACAATTATTATATTCAATAGAACGACCCCGTCTCCCCCATGAATCGGAACAGGGGGACACAAATATTCACTGACGTGCTCAAGCACAATTCTTAAATCTGGTGGCATTCTTGCGCGCTGTCTGTACGGAAGTAAGGAATTGCACCATTCAACTAGGTGGGACACATCGAGCAACCTTTCTCTACATGCTGTGCAAATATGCTAGCTTTGGTCCAAAAGTAAGTGTCTATGTGTCAACTGGGTGAGGATGACTCTTCTCCTATGAGTCATATCCGAGGGCCACCCCATCGACAGTGCTCTTGCTAGAGCCTCTCTATTGATCCGACCCATTGATTCTGCCACCTTCTTTTAATCTAGTTTTTTATCGCATTCCTAGCATCAGAGGGCTGGATTGGAAAGGTTGGGACGTCCCGGCCTTAGCCACCTTGTCCACCTTTTCATTACCCTCCAGACCTACGTGTCCAGGTGTCCAGACAACAATCACCATTTTGTAGAGATGGCCATATATATTTAATAGTCATAATTGACAATATTAATGACGACTACTAAATATAATTAATCAATTAATCATACTTTTTATCGGCTGAAGGTTGTGGGTTCAAATCCTGGTTATGACACTAGCTTTTTCATCTCAACCAAGACCTTAGATAAAAAGTATAATTAATTAAAATAATGCAGACAATTATGATTACTAAATACACGTATGAACTAATAATTCAAAAAGTACTTACTTTGCTAACAGCTCCCCGTGGCCACTAAATAATTCACCTTGAATCGAATCCTGATTACATTATATTTGAAAATATGGCAAAAAGAGGGAAAATTTGAAATGTTGAGGAGCTGGTGTCTGAGTCGATCGAAGTAACAACAGCCTAAGTGGTTAGAGCAGCGGTGCATTGAGCCGAGGGTCATGGGTTCGAATCCTACTCATGGCATTAATTTTTCATCTCAACCAAGATCTTGATAAAAAGTATAATTAATTGAAGTATGAATAATAAAGTATTAATGCAAATAAAGAAACTTTTTCATAATCTTAAAAAACAAGGGAATGTCAAAATCAACGTAATCACAATATAATTTGGATCTTAGTATGGTCCAGATAGAAAAAACAATTTTATTGCTACCTGCTATGCTTTATTTTAGCTATTTTAAGTCATCACCATGTCAAAATCACACATCAACAACAACAAGTTGTATACGAATTAACAAAATTAAGTTTTTAGTAGATGGTTTCAAATTTCTTAGAAGACCAATTCAGTGCCAACATTGCCAAGGGCTGTAACACTTAAACTTTTTATTTATTTAGGAGCTTGGAATGAAATGTGCAATGATAGGTCAGCGTATAGAAAGCTCGTAGCGAAAGGTTTGGGCAAGGCATGCACGGCAAACGATGAAATTGAACGTGACCTCCATCGTTCACTTCCTGAACACCCTGCGTTTCAGTGTGATGTTGGTATAAATACCCTTCGCCGAATCCTCACTGCGTATGCAGCTCGGAACCCTCAAATAGGTTAGTTATTTAATTTAAAAAAAGTAAAAAAAATCGTTCATTAATTCTTCGCTCTTTTAGGATATTGCCAAGCTATGAACATAGTAACCTCAGTAATGTTGATATACTGCGCAGAAGAAGAAGCGTTTTGGCTTCTTGTCTGCTTATGCGAACAGCTTCTACCTGATTATTACAACACCAAAGTTGTCGGTGCTCTAGTTGATCAAGAAGTCTTAGACGATCTCGTCTCAGCCTACTTATCACATTTACACTCATCTTTACAACTGTTTGGAATGATAAAAATGATATCACTGTCTTGGTTCCTTACAATATTTTTAAGGTAGTAATTATTAATACCTGCTTTAAATTGAGAAAATAATTTTTAAATTTTATTACAGCGTTATGCCTCATACGAGTGCTGTGAATATTGTTGATTGTTTTTTTTATGATGGGGCAAAAGTAATTTTCCAAGTAAGTTTTATAGTTTTTTTAATTTCATTTTTACCTTTTATTTAAAAATTTGCTTGTGCTTAGGTGGCTTTAACAATTCTCGACCTTAATCAAGAAGCGCTTCTTAAGTGCAAAGATGATGGCGAGGCTATGGAATTGTTCTCCAAATACCTTGCTGGGGTTTTTAATGAACAGGATCCAAAAAATACACCTGAGGGTGATGTCAAAAAGGTAAATTCCCATAGAAATATATTTATTTTAAAGAAGACCACTGATTATATTTGTGATGTTGGTTTCAGAGTATTTCCGTCCAGGCGTTGTTGCACGAAGCTTATTCAAAATATTCATGCATTACTGCCAACGAAATAGAAGCCTTGAGAAACAAGCACAGAACGCAAGTAGTTCAGGACTTAGAGGATAATTTAAGCTCGTCTGTCTTAAGAAGCCTGCTGCCTAATGATTTCTATAGCGAGGCGCAATTATCAGTAAGAATTTTATCAGTTTTTGTGTATATATTTACATAAACGCATTATTTTTAATGTTTTAGGACTTGATTTCATTTATAAGGGAAGAGGTTGTGTCTAGAAGAAAGCCTGAAGAAAAGTAAGTTTGTTCACTTTAAATAACTTTTGTAGAGTGAAAAAGAAAGTTGATCAAAATTTGCATTTTTTCAGATATGATCCATCGAAACCATTTTATGAAGCATACAAAATTGATTTTGACTTGTTTAAGCTATTATTTGAAAATTGTTCTACCTGGGGGAAGTGTTCTAAATCCGAAGACTTGGGCGCACGATTATTCAGGGTGAGAATCAATTTTAAAATATTTTTATGAACAGTTTACATGTTACTGTTTCAGCTTATGGACGCTGATAATGACGGATTGCTGAATGTAAAAGAGGTGGTCACTTCTCTGGGATTGACATCAAGGGCGGATTCTTCGGTTCGCCTGCGTCTTCTTTTTGTACTCCACCTGCCTCCGATTTTACCCATTGTCGAAACAAAACACGTTTACCTCCCAGGTACTCAGTTGTACTTTAATAACAACTACTGAGTGAAATTAGATTTTAAAATGACTGTAATTTTTTCTTTTTAATAATAAGATGGAGCTGAATTTGCCGCCGAGGCTACTGAATTTTTTGAGGACGGATCGTTCAGCATCGGGTCAAGTTCGGCTGACTCAACACCGATTTTAGAAACCGGGAGCAACCACTCAGGTATACAAAATGTTTAATTCTATCGCCTCATTTTGTTGACATTAGTTAAACTTATTTAGAGACACGGTGCTCATCACTGTAAGGTAAAGGTCCTGGGTTCGAATACAGCGGCCCTGCATTCAAACCTGACATACTTACAAATGTTTTTTTTTTTTTTTAACACTGGCACCCCGAGGTTTCATAAAACCTTGTAGTTGAAATACGCTCATATTAAAAAAAAATTTATTTACAATTTTTCAAATTTGAGTGCATTTTTTAAATTTATTGCTCGTAATCCTTTACCTTTGAGTGTTTGTTGGTTTAAATAAAATACAGTAAAACCTCTGTCACAGGGGTCCACGGAAAATCAAAAACCCCGAATAATGAAATTTATTGTTTAAATGCGTTAATTATAAGGTCAATTAAAAGGACACAGGTATATACATATTACTTTTATTAATATGTATCTAACAGAAAACATTTTGATTTAAAAATTTTTTTTCAACCAATTGTAAAAAATTTCCAAAAAATCAAATCGAAAAACAGTCTTCACAGTAACGTTGACAAAGCGATACTAAAGGCCTGTGATATAGATTTATTCCAAAAAACCCAACACCCTACGAGCTTTGAAAGTAGGGGTTTTCCAGAAGAGGTGCATCCTTCTGGAAGATGCACTTAACCTTTTAATGAATTACAATTAATTAAGGTTTTTAGTTGAGATAAAAAAATCAATGGCACGAGCGGGATTCGAACCCACGATCTTCAGCTAGATACGCCGCTGCTCTACCACTTGAGCTATCATGACCTCGATCCACTCGGACACTAACTTTCCATCTCAACCCCACCTTTTGAATTTTCCCTCCTTTTTGCCATTTTTCAAATGTCATGNCACGATAGCTCAAGTGGTAGAGCAGCGGCGTATCTAGCCGAAGATCGTGGGTTCGAATCCCGCTCGTGCCATTGACTTTTTTATCTCAAATAAAAACCTTATAATTGTAATTTATTAATTGGTCAAGCGGACCTCGAAATAAGTGAATTTAAGCTTTTAATGAATGTGTTCAATGTAGATAGACTGGTGAAAGTTTCATAGGAACATGGCAAAACGCTTTAAATCAGAAAAGACTTATAGCTATGTAAACTACATACCTGTATATATAGCATACATATACCCAGGGTACTGATAATTGGATTCCTGGATAATGCAGGTTTTACTGTATTTGAATATTGAAGGACACAAAGTGAGTTATTTAATATAACCTACAGACAATAATGCAAAAAATACAATGAATTAATTAATAATTATAACAGCTGAAGATCAAATTGGCCATACGGCATCTTCAAGCAATGACATCTCTGACACTCGTCCTGTTGCGGGGCTGCAAGTCGATCGTGATCACACTGGTATGGCACTGACACTCAATAAATTAATAAACAAACAAATTAAAAAAAAAAGCAGTGGTTTGAAAGATGCCCATTTCAGAACGTAACCTGACCATGTGGTGATGTTATCTTAGCAAATAGGCCTAATTGTTAACGCTGCTCTAGGTCTGAGCTGTGCCACACAAATCAATAACCCTCTCGTACCAACCTTACCCCAACTACTTCACCCCAAGGGGAGCGCGAACCACAGTTTGGAAAGCCCTATTTTTGCCTTGATCTCGGGCCATACTGCCTGCATTAGACAATGGTTTGTTTGGTTGTTTTGTAGGTGTAAACATTCGTTCCCACAAGTTAAGCCAGGAACACACTTACCCGATGTTACCTGACGCAAATCCAAATTCCGATTTTCCATAAAGTTGCATTACACCCGTGCACATCTACCCGATGCTATGCCATGCTAACCTACCCTACGCTCTGCGATCCCCACTGTCCAGATTTTCGCCGGGTCGCATTGAGTACAGTCGAAGACAAAAGAACCGGATACTCATATTTTTATTCAAACTACATGTATTATTGTCATTATATTAATTACAACATACTTATTTTAATATAAACCAAATTAACTGTGATTAAAAATTAATTAGTTTTTATTTAAAAAATTAATTTCAATGGTTTGGTAGAAAATTAATCAAAACACCGGAATACGATTTTTTGATATAATGAATTGTACTAACAATTTATTGTACTCGCTTCGGCGGTACATATACTAAAATTGGAACAATTTATTACATGGTTTTGCTCATAAAATCTAATTAACAATTTATTTCATAGTTTTTCTCGTAAAATTACACCATTTTGTAATGTTGGGTAGCATCAGAACAGGACATTCATATTTTTTATAATTTATTTCAAACTAAGTACATGTAATTTTGTCGTTATGTTAATTACAACATGTTATTTTAATGTAAAGAAAATTAAACGAGATCAAAAATGCATAAGTTTTATAAACATTGTTTAATTATGATGGTTAGGCGTAACTTTATTTAAAACAATTAAGTTTAACAAACAATTTATTAGATGGTTGTGCTCATAAAATTTAACTAACAGTTTATTATAAGGTTTTGCTCAAAATAGTGCATTAAGAACAAAACATTCGTTGCGATTGTGATAGTGATTATTGTGATAAACGCTGTCGACTGTACACGACGTGTACTTGCGTCGGATAGATGTGCACACCCCACCAAAACGTGGCAAGGCGTCGGGTAGCATCGGGTAGCGTCGCATGGCATAGCATCGGGTAAGTGTGTTCCCGGCTTAAAGGATGTCTGAACAGAGCCTTTGAACAGCATAAGTGTCAAGTGTAGTCTTCATTGACCAGTGAGTGGATGGCTCATGGATGATGGCCCAAGGTTACACAAGGACTGCTCACACTGTGGGCGGCCGCTAGGACATCTTAGCACTTGCACCTGAGCTCTATTTTGGGCCTTACAGAAACTAGGTACTGTCTGGCGGTTAAGCTCGCTTCCCTGCTTGGTCTTTGCAGTGCTATTTTTTGGTGCTCCCAAGATCCGGTAGGGGTAGGGGATCAGGGGAAGGGCATGTGTTTCGCTACTTAATTACTAATAAATTATTAAGCTGGCCATCTTTTCTGCCGCATGATTGCTTTCCACATGTTTGTAGTGGCTCAGTGGCCTGCTGGAGTGGCGATTGCGATGCGCACAGTGTTTTCATTAGTCGCAGGTACTCCACTCTCGTGAAGCCATTGTGCACATGCTTGCATATATTTCGTGCATTCAAAAACAATATGCTGTGCCGTTTCATGTTGACCACACTTACACGAGGGTATCTTTGAGACTAAATGAATGTAGTTTTGTGGTGAAGTCTCCGTGCGATGGAGTTAGGACGTTAAGTTATCAACCTCCATAAGTTTCATCTTTTGTCACTGCTCAATGCTTGTAAAAATCTCATGTGTATATGATTCACTGAGGCGTTCCACCTCCGTTGCCATTGTTCAATCACTCACTGGGCTGCTTTGCTTTATATGGTGGCAGATTTGCAAGGCTCATATCTATTAGCCATTTCGTGCAAATGTGTCTTGCATGAAGGTCTACAGAGCTGGGCATGTTAGAACATCTTCCAGTCGGCAGCACGCAGGAAGTGTGTCCAGGTTGGGAACAGCATAAAGCAGCACGGACTCGCACAATGGGGAGTAGAACACGAACCGGCTCATGAAGGAGAGGTCCCATGCTGTGCTTCTGATGGCCTTGATCTCTGCTATCCTTGCTGGCATCTTTTTATGTGCATTTACCCCAAAGCATGGTTCTGCAGTCATCTTCACTCCAAGGTACGTCACGACAGGGGGTGCTCTGATAATTTGGCCACCTAGATGTAAAGCAAGCAGTGATCACAGGTTTAATTTGACTTTGAGAAGCATAAGTATGGTCTATAAGTATGGTCTTCTCAGGTGTCATAGATAGCCTGACCTTATCGCACCATTTGCCTAGTATAGCAGCTGCCAGACTTCACCACAAAACTACATTCATTTAGTCTCAACGATAGATATCCCCATGTAAGTGTGGTCGACATGAAACAGCACAGCATATTGTTTTTGAATGCACGAAATATATGCCAAAGTGCCTCTTGTTTCAATCTCTGCCTTTGTGTGATGATGGCGAAGTAATCTACATACGCCAAGGCCTGGACACCTGCCTTTCTCATCTCCTTGAGTGCCCTGTTAAATAGCATGGCCCACAAGTACAGGCCAAATACAGAGCCCATCTGTACTGTCCTACTGCAGTTCGCACTGTACTTGCTTAGGGTTGCAGTCTGATCGGTTAAGTTACTGTAAATTAAAGCACATTTATCTTTTCGCACTCTGCTCACCAGACTGTAGAGCACCGTGGGCCACCAAATGCGGTCAAAGGCTTTCTTTACTTCAAAGAAGATTGCAGCCACATACTTGGCAGGAGATCGAGTCGCATAATCTATGGACAGGGCTATGTGTACACTTGGCATTTGAAGCACATCTATATAGCCATTAGTGACACAAGACTGGTAGTCTAGGTAAATCTTGCTCCTTTTGGCCATCTCTCTGCGGGCTTCTGGGGGAACTTCGACCACCCAAGACACAAATGAGGATGTCTCTTGCTGGCTTCATATCTCATGGTGTATAAGGGTATAATCTTCCCTGCTCCAGGACCTATCCGCAATTCATTGTTAGCCATCAGCTCCTCCTTCAATTCTCTGATGTGGTATCTTTGGATATTCGAAGGATCAAAATTCTTAGATTCCTCTTTCCCATCATTCACGGCTGCAGTCCGAATTGCTAGAACACAATAGCATTACTGTTTTTGCTATGTCCTCACCCAATTTAATCGCCAAGCCTCCTCATGCCGTGGTCCTTATGCCATTCAACCGTATTTTTTTAACCCTGAGGTTGAATAAGTCGTGAACTCTCTTTAGCAGGTCAGGGGGTTTTACCATACCATTGGGTAAATCCACAAGGATATCCTGCTCAACCATGGCTCACTCCATGTACTCTGCCGCAGTTAGCCTTTGTCTCGGCCACCCTCACGGGAGTGTGCCTTTTTTTCCTGGACATGGCAATTTCATACACATCCTTATTTCCATTGTCAGTCTCGGTCTCGCTTCTGCAACAGTGTGCTTCTCTCCTTCCAGACTTGGATGGCACTAGGGCATCCACCACTGCCTCTGAAGTTTCATGTACATTTTGAGCTTTCTATGGATCATGGCTTGTACCCACAGTTGAGTCAATTGTTGCACTGCTTCTAATGTCGTCTTTTCCGTTTATGTAGCAGCTGACTTTGTGCATTTGCTCCCTGGGTCTATCATGAAATGCATAATGTCTCTGCCTAACTAGCGTGTTTCCACATGCAGTGTGGAGATTTTGTCGCCATCGTTGCTATCAACGGTGTCATTTTTAGTTTTTCTCACCTTCTTACATCTAGCATACAGCTGCTTGTCCATGTTGGTGTCACTGAGAGCACTGTCAGTGTTGGTCTCCTCTATTTCATGTACTTGTTGTCTGACCTTGGTGACTGTGGAGTATTGCAATTCAGATTTTGCTGAAGTCAGAGGGGTTTGAGGGGTTGGCGCAGCCATGCTTGCTGAAGCCTGGTTGGTTCTGAAAGTGCTGGGAGCACTGGTCACTTGTCCTTGCCTGGCTGGGTGGTGTCCTGCTGTGGAAGGGATTTATACCCACTTCATCTGCTTTGCAAATTTTTTATGCTTTGGTTTGTATTTGTGTTCATTTGAGTTTCCACGAGTAATAGGATGCACAGGATACATGCTGGGAGGACTCCAACCCTGGCGCAAGGCGACTTAATACTCAGGAGTGGTGCCAGATTCCCCTGAGGCTCTGTTCAAGTCTCGGTTACCCACAAGCCCATTCATCCCACAGCACAGAATGCATTACACTTTGGATTGGGGTTGTCTGTCAGGGTTGTCTCCCTTAGTCTGGTTTCTCTGCTTATGCTCAGAACTCATATTTTGTCCTTAAGTTAGTTGCCAAAGCTAAAGCTAAAGGCATTACTCGGGGACCACGATAGGGATGTGGTGATAGGGCTTGGGGTTTCATCAAACCGGTCTGACTTTGGGCATTTCTCAGCATGTTTTTCAGGTGCTGCACAGACATCATGCTGAGACTAAGAAGCCCCATTTGGACCCCCACAGTCATTGACTTTAATTGATGCTCTAATGTTCTTTGAATGTATTTTTCCTCTTCTCTGTCTGATGTATTTGTCTCTGCATTCTTACGTCATTGTGCGCATACTACTTTTTTCTACTGGGATGGCCTTGATGTTTTGTCTGTTTGAATTTTTTGTTAAATTCTTTGAGTATTCTCTAAAAAGTTTTCTAATGGTGTCAAGTTGACTAATATGATAATTCTGAAATTGTCCCTACTAAAACGACATTTCTCCATGGAAATATAAATTTATTGTATTCAATTTTTATTTTTAGGGGAGGATGCATCATGGGAAGTTTCTAGCGTGTCATCTTTGAGATTGGCCGCTACTACTCCTCCAAACAAAACCAACCCAAAACTTCTGCCAAAAATGGGCATGTCCCATTTCAACATGTTGATCCTTTCTCTTGACGATTTACTCCAACAGCCGAGTTCATCTGATACAAACACAACTTTCTACACGGAGCATTATTTTAAAAATTTAGTCTCGTTGCTCATCGATTTGGGCGAGGTCGGAAGGAAATTCTATACGAGAAAAGAAGAGTTGGCGAGCAGTTTACAATCCAGCTCTGAAAAATGGAACGAAGACGAACCGGTAATGTTAATTTTTTTTTTTTTTGTCAATTGATAATGTTTATGTATTTTAGCCTCCTGATTTAAATGGAAATCCCGGGAAGGAATCGGAATGGGCACTCGCGGTAGAACAGTTTATTGCAACTATCCTCATAAATGAGGGAGTTGTGAACTTTTTCTCGAAAAATATCGATTTATGCCCTGGGCTGGCGATACTGCGGAAAAGTAGATTTTCAAAACCATTATACCTTGTATAGTAGTGTAAGTGGAGATATAGATTTATAACTGTGAGTATTTTAATTTATGAACTGTCTCATAATTAACTTTATTTATATTTTGTGTAGTTCTAAACAAAAATAAGCCTTTTTTTGTGTTTACCGTGATTTATGTTTTAAAATCTTAAGGAAGTCTAAAAATATGTTTATATATGCAATATTTAGACTAATGCATGTTCTATACTAACACAACTTTTTTTCAACGCCATTCCATTTCTCTCAATTTATAAATACTTTGTTAACTTGTGTTATGAGTAAAATGCCAAAACTGTTAGTGGTGTCACGTTTGAATTGTTCCCCTTGACAAATGTGTACAAATTGTTTGTAAATATGTAACATTTCATAAATTGTTTTTTAATGGTGCTATAATTAAATTTACTCAATCATTTCCTTTTAATAATATATTATAACGATTGATTTAATACCGTATATTTTTATAGTCAAAATATTTTAAGACATTTTGTCGAATTTTAAGCTCATTTATTTGTAACTAAATAAATATATTTTGATTTTTCCTGTTTGGTTTTTTTTTACTGATATTTAAGTTAACAGGATATGACGATGATGATCTTTTAAGGGGAAAACACATATTTCATGCCTAAGAATTTTTTTTTTTTAAGTAAATATTTGTGGTGAAGTACTTCTGAAGTATTTCTAATAAATATTTTGAAGTGAAGTTTGTGTCTGTGTGTGAATTAAACTATTTATTATGTCAGACACTATTCTACGAATTTGCGATACAACTAAATATGGATACCTTGATAGATGATCAAACTGTTGTATATAATTTATATATTGACGAAATAAAGCTGTGATATTCCGATAAAGTGAGTCAAATTTTTCACCAATCATTCCAATTTATTTGTTTTGACTACTTTTTTCATCGGTGTAATGCTTCACTTAAGCCTTTGCCACTGCTCATCTCATTTACTTCCCAAAATACTTCCGTGGAAGCATGTAAGGCTGCGTCTCTCATTTCAAAAGGCATTTTATGATCCTAGCTTAATTTTTTACTGCTAATTTATAATTATAGAAAATGTGAGATTGTTCTGTATTGTCTGTGAGGTGATGAACCTGTAATTTTGGTCTGTCTATCCTTGCCAGGTTGGTCTGTCAAATGCATTTCGCCGTGTCTTTTTTTTTTAACCAGGTGCTACTAACATTTCAGCCCCTACTCACTGTTATAGCCGATGGGATACTCGATGGTGCGCTCGGCCGTTTTATTGATCAGACAATAACAATAATTCAATTATACAGGGTGGACCCAAGCGATTCAGCCACACTTCCAGATCTTATAGAAAATTGAACGCTGAGTAAAAAAGTTCCTATGAACCTGTGTCCGCAAACCCTTCAGTTTCGAGCTACAGGCAAAAAACCATGAAAAACAACATTTTTTGACCTTATTCGTGAAATTATTAGTAAACCGTTAGCCTCACCTAAAACAGCTCGAAACAACATCTATAGAGGATTAATTTCTGCATTGAATGAGATTGGTATGGTATGGTATGGTGGAAGGGATGCCGGGAAGCGGGGTTTGTATTCCCCAGGCACTGCAGCCTTCTGGCTTATTGTACCTTCCCAGTTCCCCAGTTTAGTCAATAGACTCAATCCTTCTTCTCAGAAGTATCAGGNTTTAAGATTTTCCAGGACACAAGCGTTGATGGCATGTATTCTGCTTGAAAGACCGAAGTATACTTCCCTAATGAGTTTTATTGCTCATATTTTGGGCTTGTACAGAAAACGCCTGATCCGGTTCCTTCGTTTGTTTTGGAGCCATCCGTATACCATATCATTGTATCTGGTGCTTTCCTGTGTTCTTCCTCTCCTTTATAGTCTGTTGTTAATTTCTGCATTGAATGAGATTAAAACCAGTCTGATTGGCCGAACATTTAATTTTTGGCAATTTTTCAAAGTTTGGAAGTGAAGGGGTACACAAAATTCATCATTTCTGACATTTTTATTGAAAATTCACAACTTGAACACTCTATCAAAAAATTCTCTGTTAGATTTTTCGTACATTATTTCATTCTGTAGGGGGTACCCATCAGAAAACAGTAACATTCGATTAGGGTGAAAAGCAGTAAATTAGCCAAAATTCGAATGTTTCATGAATCGGACGGTGGTTGGTCTAATGTGACGGAGAATTTTTTGATAGGGTGTTCAAGTTGTGAATTTTCGATAAAAATGTCAGAAATGGTGAATTTTGTTCACCCTTTGAATTCCCTTCACCTCTTATCTTCAAAAAATCGTCAAAAATGAAATTTTTGGCCGATTAGACTGGTTTTAATCTCATTCGACGCAGAAATTAATCCTCTACAGATGTTGTTTCGAGCTGTTTTAGGTGAGGCTAACGGTTTACTAATAATTTCACGAATAAGGTCAAAAAATGTGGTTTTTCACGGTTTTTTGCCTGAAGCTCGGAACTGAAGGGTTTGCGGACACAGGTTCATAGGACCTTTTTTACTCAGCGTTCAATTTCCTATAAGATCTGGATCGTTTGGGGCCACCTTGTATACGTACACACATACACAGCATATACAATTTCTGTATGCGAACACTCCTATTTTTCAGGAGGCCCTCATTTGACCTCTTTATATAATGGCTCATCCCTACTCGCTCCTCGTAAGGGGCCAAGGTTACATTAGTTATCTTCCAATTAGATCTGACACATTGATGAACCTTTCTCTACAAATGGAACACTTGTGCAAGTTCGCTCCAAAAGCAGGTGTCATGTGTAAGACGGGTATGGCTGATCCTCAATCTGGTTAGCAGGTTTCTGTCCTTTCATTTCAGACTCTTGTAGGGCCATTGTTCAGTTGTGCTCTTCACATACAGGACCTTTTTGGACAACCCCATCCACCTACACTGCCAACACACAGCTTTAACTTTACTGCTTGGTGCCGGATCGCAGTAGTTAGGTCTGGACAGCTTTTACTGTATTGTCTTTTGAAACTTTTTTGACCCATGGACCCCTTTTTATAGTCAAAAATTGCCGACGGACCCCCAAGTGAAAAAGCCACATAAATGCATAATATAAAAATTACAAATTAAAAAAAAAGTTTTGTTGAAGAAGTATTTTTGAAATTATAAATTATAATATTAATTACTTTTGTTTAAAATAAAATATAAAAAAATTAATGACTTGGATAAACTCGATGAGATGTTATGAGTGTATAATTTCTAATCGGTTTCTTTCTTTTGTGATGAGGTTCATAACGGCACTGAATCAACATTCTACCAAATAGAAAGACGGGAAAGCAGTCAACAAATTCTGTACAATAACCCATAATGCAGGATATAAAATTGGGATCTGTTTTTTTAACCAGAATTTGTGGTATCCTTGTTCAAACATTGGTTTAAGTTCCTCGTTTGTGGATACTTCAATAAGCTGCTCCTGTATTAGTATGGATTCATCTGTGTTTGTCCACGCGCAAAAGGGTTCAACACCCAGTCGGGAATATCCAAGTGAAGAATGTCTTCAAATCTTTGGTTCAAGTATGCATGAAGAGCCGTTAAGTGTTGACAGTATGCAAGCAAATCTTCATCTCGAATTTGCAATGTCGAAAGATTTGGAAACAGAGCATTCTCCTCTTCCCAAGTTTTGTTTGTAAAGAAAAAGTTTTGCAACAAATGCAGATATTACGCTACTAGTTTTGATTAAATTTAATTGGTCACCTTGTAGTTTCAAATTAGTTTTGTTAAAATTTGGCAAATAAATCAGACATGTAGACTATGTCATCTTTTGAGTTAATTAAATTATGTCATAAATCATTGTCTTTGGTTTTCAGAAATTACAACACTGAATCAAAGAGCGCAGAAAATCGATTTAAACATGCACTTTTAGAATTATTTTATATTATTATTTATTACAATTAATTAAGGTTTTTAGTTGAGATAAAAAAGTCAATGGCACGAGCGGGATTCGAACCCACAATCTTCGGCTAGATACGCCGCTGCTCTACCACTTGAGCTATCGTGACCTCGATCCACTCGGACACTAACTTCCCATCTCAACCGCACCTTTTTGAATTTTCCCTCCTTTTTGCCATTGGGACCACTGACTTTTTTATCTCAACTAAAAACCTTAATTAATTGTAATAATTAATTGGTCAAGCAGACCACAAAATTAGTGAATTTAATTATTATTTATATTATATTATTTTATATTAAACCTTGCGCGGACCCCCTGACGTTGTTCAGAGACCCCCAAATCAATTTTAATTTTCCACAGACCCCCTGAATGATACTGGGGGGTCCAGAGGGACCACTTTGGGAACCACTGGTCTACATGTTCGTTGCCCTCCAATTTTTGATAAGCAAGCATGTTCTATCGAATAAATATTTTTTTTTTTAACAATAAAAGATCTGGCAAGAACCTGTTATACCATGTGATGGTGGGGGGGGGAGCTGGCCATTGCTAGAACTCTGTGTTTAGGATTTAGGTTGATTGGTTTAGGGTTGTGTTAGAGGTCACAAGGTTAGAGTGGGAAGATGAAGATAGGGCTTGAACTGGTGGTTTGATGCAGAAGAAGAGATTGTAGCAGAAGTTGTGATTTGTGGTTGGTTAATGATGTCGAAATGACTGTTGAGGACGCAACAGCACTTTTCATTAAAAGGACTGGATTCTTTGGATTTTGGATAGCTTGGCTGTACCCCACAGCTCAACTCCCTAAGTCCAAATCAGTCTAATTAGTGTCATATTTTGTTGTGTATACTCATTGTAAATTTGGGCCTAAGAAAGCATCTTATTTGTCCATGTCTTTTTTTGTGTGTGCTCTTTGTCTTCTGTCCAAGTAGAACCGAAGGTAGGAAATTTGGTCGGATGGATATACCTTACTGTATATTTGCACTGATGGGCAAGTACTACTAAGTGTGAACATGCTGGCTCTTTTGTTCATTTAGCTTGATGCGCCACCGAATGCACCAGTTGATGAGGCCAAGATGATCTAGGTGAAAGATGCTCTGGCTACAGGAGGATTGCGGTATTGTCCGTGAAGATCATATTAGGATGTCAGCGGCGTTAGCTGTGTAAATTGATCCTAGGTACTCCCTTGAGGAACACCAGCCTCGATGCCTGAAAATTCAGAACCTCAAACCACGAGAAGAACTTCAGGAAGAGATAGTCGATGTAAGAAAGGATGCGTTTTAATTTGAAAATTAAAACAATTTAATTGAAATTTGGGTATCCACACCTCTGTGGCATCTAGAAAAAATATCAACTGCTTGTAACTCCTGCTGGTAGTACTTTAAAAGTAAAATAATTAGTTTTGTCCGCATTGTCCTTTTGTCTCATGCTAAAAAAAAGACAGCTACATGGAGAAAACATGGGGTTAAAAATAAAATAAAAATATTTTTAACTTTGTAAATAAAATATACTTTATTATTTTCAAAGGTATTAAACTATTCAATTTACTCTGTACAACGTTTTTAACATAAAGTGCTGTTTTTCTTGTTAAATACTTCTATGAAACACAGAATGATTTTTCCTAATTTTCAATTCTAAATACTTTCCATGAAACAACTTCAAAACTGTTTAAATAATTCGTAATTTTTATATGAATGCGTGAAGGTTTTCTTGCCCTTCGATTTCATTAGTTTGTCCGAATGGAAAAATCGTTAAAACACACTATTTTTTATTTAGATGATCAATTAAATTAACATTGTACTGAATTTGCCGAGGATTCCATTAAAACGATACCAAACCAAAGTTACCCTGTTTAAAATAAATATAATAAAAGGATAAAATAAAAAGCATTTATTGTTTTGTTTTTTTTCGTGGAAGAGTCAGCAGATATTTCTTAACAAACTTACTATACAATTTATTAGAAATAGAATTCATCACATTTGTTTCCTATTTACACATCTACAAATTGTGTTTTCAATATTTTTTTAAATATATTTTTAACCAAGCTTTGACAATCATTCATAATCTATACATACTCCAGGCCGATTTGGGCACAAGTTTATAATACACTTTTCATCGTCAACATACTAAAACCGAATAATTGAGCTACTTATTAACTCAAAAGATAGAAAAACAATGTATAGAAGAATATCAGCAATAAAATTTCTGATTTAAATACATAAAACAGATTATGCTTTACAAAAGTAAAAAAAGGATTTTGCTGAAATACAAATGATTTTTTCCTCTAGCCACAGTAAGCCATTAATGAAAATTTCCATTTAATTAAAAAACAGATAAAAATTCAATTGTTATTCAGCAAAACATTAATTATTTTTTATAGACAGCAATTTTTGTACTTTACCCCTTTTCTTAAATCTCACAAGGTTTTTCAAGTAGGAAAAAAATAAATAAAGTGAAATAAATTAAAATATTTACAATTATTTACACAAGCATAGTTATAAATAATAAAAGAGTTTTAAGTTAAAAATTTAAACTGATTACCAGTTAAAAGATACGGTCTTATTTAAATATTTCACTTTATCTGACTACGGGACAAGGCAACATGATTGAAATCACCTTAGGTTTACATCTGGGAAGAAAGCAGTTTAAAGTATAAGAAAATACTTTTGTATTTTATGAAAATGCATTTTCATTTACGAGATTAAAACAACTTTAAAATGCATATACTTTTTTTGTTTAACCTAAGGATCCAAATTTATGTTTGGAGTACTAAAAAGATTTAAGTTATATATAATCAATGTAAAATAGAAATAGTATAAAAAAAATTATTTTCTTCTCTTAAGTTCAGTTAAGGGAGATATGTACTACTCTATATTCTTCAACTGTATTTTAATAACTATTTCCCTAGTTAAAAAAAAAACTTTGTTGTTTATTACAACAAATCAACAGAACATTGTGATGAAAATAGATTTTTTCCCCCAATATAAAAAATATCCTTAAATCAGCCCTAAAATTAACAGATTTCTTTAACTATGTACACTATACCATCAAAGAACAATAATGTACAACCGCTGAATGCCAGCCGGATAATCTATCAATGAAAAATACTGTTTTGGAAATAATTTCGCTATTTAATATCACTCGGATTTATCTGATTGGGCCTTTCTCGAAAGAAGCCTTTTTCAGTTTTGCACTCTCGGATTGTGACTGTGCTCAAGTTGACGGTCACGTCGGTAATCACGATATCGTCAGCGAGCGGATTCCTGTTCCTCCAATACTCGGGGCCAGGGTTGGTGAGGATATGGGTCACTAGCTTATTGCCGGTATGCCCATTTTGGATTTTCTTCTTCTCAGGGGCTTGGTTCTGCAAAACAAGTTTTCAATGAAAAAAGGAAAATTACTTGTCTTATGTAAGATCCTTGTAAAAAATATTAAAAACAATACATTAATAATAAAAAATTATATTGAGAATTTAAAGCATACCTGCTGTGTCTGGGGTTGGCTTGTCTTCTTTTCTTGAGGCGGTGTGGGCGCAGGTACATTATTGACTGGAGGCGCTGTTGGAGGTGATGGTTTTGTAACAGGTGGAGATGTGACCTGTTCAACAGGACTCACTTTGTTCTGTGGAGGTGATGGCGTCTAACATTGCAAGAAATAAAGCATTAAATCGAGAAATGTTAACATCTGTGATCAGATTTTCTAAAACAATTTTGAGAGGAAAAAACTACCTTTACTGTGGGATGAGGTGGTGGTGAGAGTTTCGGCAACTTTGGCGCCGGGTGTGGTGGACTGGTTGTTATAGTGACGCCAATTTTACCACTTTCTTTACTCAACACCTCAGCCTTCCGTTTTGTACCGGGTCTCGGCGCGTCCTCTTCAGGATTGTAAACCGGCTCATCTTTCACAGGCTTGACAGGCTCGGTGGGCGGTGGTGCCGGAGGTGTGGAAGGTGGTGCCGGAGGTGGAGGTGTGGCTTCTTTCTTTTCTTTTTTATTATCAGGTTCAGGAACAGGAGACTTATCGCGTTCCTCTTCTGCTTGGCTTTGTTCTCCTTTAAAATCCATAAATTAGTTATTGGATACGATCAATAGGTAAATGATTAATTACCATTTTTGTTATCAGTAACAGGTGGTTCGGCTGGCGGTTCTTCCGGAGGTGGTTCTTCCTCAGGAGTTTTCGGCTCTTCAGGAGGTTCTTCATTTACCTCTCTCTCCGCTTCCACGGGAGCCGGAGCCTGGGAAACCTAATTTAATTCGTATTTTGTTAATATAAAATTATATAAATATATTGTGACTATCATCTAATAAACTATACAACTGTATTATGTGGTATAAAATAAATGTAAGCATCGAGCAAAGAATACTCATTTTACACAGATATTTCTACAAACTATTTTCTTGGGGGTTTTCATTTACAAGAAAGGAAATGTAAATTCACTAAAACATAATTTGGTGATTATGTTGAATACCTTACCTTGAATAAGACTGCCTTTAATATTTGCTGCTTACAATAAAAGATTGCACCATATATATTGATATTTTGACCAAACTTTCATAAATATTTATAATAAATATGAGTGGGTTTCATATTACTCATTATGCTGGTATTTTCTGCATTTAAATATAATAAGCAATAATCAAAATGTTAAAACAAATTTAAAAGAATTGTGTTACCTGTTTTTTCTTTGGGCCTCTTTTGTGCGCAGCACTGTCATTTCTCTGGCTAAAAATGCAATAAACATTTTAATTAATTAAAGTAAAATAGACAGATTTGTAATTAAACTAAGCATTTCAGTTTTGTTACTCATTTCCAAGAATACAAATAAATCCGTACATTTGTAACTTGTTAATTTGTAAAACTCATGACACTAGCTTTTTTTTATCTCCAAAAGTATAATTAATTAAAATAAAAATAAACTTAAAAATTAATCGTGAGATGCGGTCTGGTGTGATGTAGGTTTCAGAAAAACATTTTCTTTATCGTGCCAACGTTTCGATCTTTATTGAGATCATCTTCAGGGCTCAAAGTGTTTGTCTTCTGTGTAATTGTGCCATTCTTGTGTGTCATGTTGAGAGTGCCCAAACTCACACTCAACACGACACACAAGTACCTACATCACACCAGACCGCATCTCACGATTTCTGAATAATTATTTCTAGCATTGTATAAATTCATTCACGGTCACTAATCACCACACATATTTCAATTAATTAAGTTTTTAGTTGAGATAAAAAAGTCAGTGTCACGAGCGGGATTCGAACCCACAATCTTCGGCTAAATACGCCGCTGCTCTACCACTTGAGCTATCGTGACCTCGATCCATTCGGATACTAACTCCCTATCCCAACCCCACCTTTTTTTTTATTTTCCCTCCTTTTTGCCATTTTTCAAATGTCGTGTAATCTATTTGATTCTCGGCGACATGAAGTGACCAGAGGTGAGCTTTAGTGAAGATATACTTTGTTTTACTTATTAAATCCATTATATTTCACAGTCCAAATGACCATATAACTTCTTTCAATTAATTAATCTTTATGTAAGGTATTGGTTGAGATAAAAAAGTCAATGGCACGAGCGGGATTCGAACCCATGATATTTGGCTAGATACGCCGCTGCTCTAACACTTGAGCTATCGTGACCTCAATCCACTAAGGCACTAACTTCCTATCTCTACCCCACCTTTTGAACTGAAATAAATAATTTAATTAATTAAGGTTTTTAGTTGAGAGAAAAAAGTCAATGGCACGAGTGAGATTCAAACCCACGATCTTCAGCTAGATACGCCGCTGCTCTACCACTTGAGCTATCGTGACCTCAATCCACTCAGACACTAACTTCCTATATCTACCCCACCTTTTGAATTTTCCCTCCTTTGTGCCATTTTTCAAGTATACTGAACTTCACTAAAGCTCTCCATGGCCATTTCATTTGTTGTCGAGAATCCAATCTGATTACACGACATTTGAAAAATGGCGAAAAGGAGGGAAAATTCAAAAGGTGGGGTTGAGATGGGAAGTTAGTGTCCGAGTGGATCGAGGTCACAATAGCTCAAGTGGTAGAGCAGCAGTGTATCTAGCAAAGATCGTGGGTTCGAATCCCGCTCGTATCATTGACTTCTTTATCTCAACTAAAAACCTTAATTAATTCTAATATATTAATTGGTCAAGAGGACCACGAAATTAGGGAATTAAATAATTAAAATTTGAATTAAAAATTATATATTTTTTATCATAGACGATCTAAAATTTCTGTCAAAAATGTATAGAAAAGAAGACCTTACAACAATATTTATAGTTTGGTCAGTTCGGATCAGTCTAGTCTTCTTATCCCTCACTGTTTTGGTATGTCAGATGCATTTCAGCATTTTGCCATATTCAGAAGTGAGTATGAGTACATACCAAAAGAGTGAAGTGGATGGGAAAAGAGATGATCTATAGATACGTCATCTAAGACTTCAAGAATCTGTTTACAACTTAAAGCTTAACTTACCTTTGTTCGAATATGTCAATAAGCCTGCTATCCAGAATATTTTCTTCTGGCTCCCATGTGCTATGCCTGCGGAAACAAATGGTTAATTTGTTTGTCAAATGGTTTTGTCGAGATGTGATTACTTACTTTTGACTCCAGCCTTTCCATTTGACGAAATACTCTACTTGACCCTAAAAAAAAATATCAATATTTAATAATAACATAGAGAAAAAAAAATGCAAGTGATAATAAAAAGCATGTAAAATTATTTTGTTTTTGATAAAGCATCTCATCGTTGGGTCTTTCTGGATAAAATCAAGAATTCATTATTGAACTTGGGGACAATCGACCAATTATTTCAGGGGAAAGTTAAAACTAAAAGAACAGTAAATCAAAGACAATAAGACATTATAATGTGACTGAGGGTATGAGGATCATGGTAGCCAACTGGTTGGCATTCTCCCACTCAATATATCACCTAATACAACTGGCTAATATTGGAATCATAAGGCCATTAAATAATTATTAAAAGTTTTTAAAAAAATTTAAGGGTTTTTTGTAAAAGTTTAGACTAAGTGTCAAAATGATTCACAATATTTCCTGTTGTCGGAAACATCTTGCACCCCACTTACGATTTGATCTGACATTGTTTGTTATTAATTAATTTATATGTCAAATTGTAAAAATATTAATATAATGAGTTAGTGAAGTATGTGAAAAAAGTAAAATATTGCAAATTAGAAGTAAATGTTGAAAACATTTAGTTTTACTGAAATAATTCACATATATATTTTATTATTTATATTATTTTTCTTTACGTTCTATCCATATGAATATTTTTAGCATGATATTGTGATCTCTTTTATGTGTAAATATATAATATACTTGTAATACATTTACATATTTTTGTACAAGAATGACGGATCCGTGTATAAATAAATAAAATGGTTTCTGTGATAGAAAATCTCATGTATTACATATTAATTTTAAATTGATAAGAGTTCAATATAGTAAATAAATAGAGCAGTATGTTATCAACATCAAGAGGCATTACAAACTGAACTTTGAACTTTAAATTTTTTTTTAAAAATTGTATCATTCCAGCATTTGTCCCAGCCTCTTGATGACATTAGTGACAGTACGGTTCCTTTTCACCAGTAACAGCTTGCGCCCCACTTACACACAATTTGATCTGACACTGTTTATTATTAATTAATTTATATGTCAAATTGTAAAAATACTAATATAACGAGTTAGCGAACTATGTTAAAATTGTAAAATATTGCAAATGAGAAGAAAATGTTGAAAATATTTGATTATTCGTACATCGTGAGATGCGGTCAGATGTGATGTACGTTTCAGAAAAACATTTTCTTTATTGTGCCAACGTTTCAATCTTTATTGAGATCATCTTCAGGGCATTTCTTTTCCTCGGAAACATTGCACCCCACATACGATTTGATCTGACATTGTTTGTTATTAATTTATATGTCAAATTGTAAAAATACTAATATAATGAGTTAGTGAAGTATGTTAAAAAAGTAAAATATTGCAAATGAGACGTAAATGTTGAAAATATTTAGTTTTACTGAAATAATTCACATATATATTTTATTATTTATGTTATTTTTCTTTACGTTCTATCCATATGAATATTTTTAGCATGATATTGTGATCTCTTTTATGTGTAAATATATAATATACTACTGTAATACATTTATATATTTTTGTACGAGAATGGCAGATTCGTGTATAAATAAATAAATAAAATGGTTTCTGTGATAGAAAATCTCATGTATTACATATTAATTTTAAATTGATAAGAGTTCAATATAGTAAATAAATAGAGCAGTTTGTTATCAACATCAAGAGGCATTACAAACTGAACTTTGAACTTAAAATTTTTTTTTTAAATTGTATCATTCCAGCATTTGTCCCAGCCTGTTGATGACATTAGTGACAGTACGGTTCCTTTTCACCAGTAACAGCTTGCGCCCCACTTACACACAATTTGATCTGTCACTGTTTATTATTTTTATTATTAATTAATTTAAATGTCAAATTGTAAAAATACTAATATAACGAGTTAGCGAACTATGTTAAAATTGTAAAATATTGCAAATGAGAAGTAAATGTTGAAAATATTTGATTATTCGGAAATCGTGAGATGCAGTCAGATGTGATGTAGGTTTCAGAAAAACATTTTCTTTATTGTGCCAACGTTTCAATCTTTATTGAGATCATCTTCAGGGCCTGGGATTTACAAGCATTATTTAAATTTAACAAATACTTGTACAATGTGGAAAAAAGTGAGTGTATACAATGCAAAAAAATATTTTTTTATATTCAATCAAAGTATTTGTACTCACTCAAAGACCCTGAAGATGACCTCAAAGATCAAAACGTTGGCACGATAAAGAAAATGTTTTTCTAAAACCTACGTCGCACCAGACCGCAAATCACGATTTTGCAATAATCATCGACTCACATTTTAAAAAATTACAGGCCCAGTGTCAGAACAATAGCATGCCGATATTTTCCCTCCTGTTGTTTGAAATCGGAAGAATTTGGGATAAATTGTCATAACAGTAAAGTTTTAGCAAATTGTTATGCTTTAATATAGGGAATTTGTTGTTTTTAGTAACATTACGGAGTGTTTCAACTTATGCTACACATCAAGACAAAACTGCTTAGAAATCCAGCAAAAATTTACAATTCATTAAACAAAACTTGACCACCTAGGCATTTATATTCATTGTATTGGGTTGTCCGGAAAATAATGCAGGATTTTGGTATTAAACAAAAAAAAAGAAACTAGTTACTTTAAAGCAATGTTCTTTAATCAAAATNATACAAATGAGTAATCCTGTAAACGTAAACAGAATATTTTATATAGATTTTTTTTAATGAAAACTTAAAATCCTGCATTATTTTCCGGACAACCCAATATTTACATTTTTTTTTCTTTATGTTCTATTCATATGAATATTATTGTAAATAGCACCGTATTATGTGTAAACATTATAATGATTATTAGTTTGAATATTATGCGCTTTTTTATGTGTAATTACTTGTAATACATTTATATATTTTAGTACAAGCACGGTATCCATATATAAATAAATAAAATGGTTTCTCTGATAGAAAATCTCATTTATAACATGTAAATGTTTGAACTGATAAGAGTTCAATATTGTAAATAAACAGTGGTTTTTTATTTTTTTTTTTTGACTGGGGCTTCCGAGTGTAGTTGTTATCGACAACATCAAGAGGTGTTACAAACTGAATGAAATTTAAACTTTACAAGTTTTTGTTTTTTTAGTTTATATTAAAATTGTATCGTTCCAATATATGTCCCAGCCTCTTGAGGACATTAGTGACAGTACGGTTCCTTTTCACCAGTAATACCTTGCGCCCCACTTACGCACCAAATGATCTGTCACGACACCGTTTGCTATTTGTTCAAATTTCCCTTTGCTGATTTGAAATAACAAATTCTTTCATCGAAAGAAACAACGAAAAACTCTCTTCTTTAGCAATTCGGAAAAGAACTGAAAATATGAATTTGATATTTTGATGGTTTTTGTGAAATTTTTTTTGTAATTATTTTTATAAAATTTTTGAAATTTGCGAGGAAAAGAAAACTGAAAAAAGTACTGTCGACATGGGTAAAGGGTGGCTGTATACCAAGGTATTTCAAGGGATTTCTGATCAGTCAGCAGGGGTGAAGTGGCATCAAAGCAATATTTTGAATGGAGGGAGGCGCAATGTTTACCACCTCACCGAATGAGGTTATGTTTACCGTAAACAGACGAGACGAGATATCGTAATGAAATTACTTGCGGACTGGTCGAAAGCGAGACTCGACGGACCCAAACCCGATCGCGCGATACATTAAAAAAAACAAACAAGGCCTGAACGGCGGCGACTCACCCTGCGAGACCTCTTCTTCATAATACGCTCCGCGGCGTAGACTCTGTCGCCCATTTGGATTTGCGTCTATCTCAGGTTGGAAACGGGAAAGAAAAGGGCTGACGGCCTTGCCCCGAGGGCCATTTAGCGCCGTGGCTCACCAGTGGATCGTCGGCACGACGGCAAAGATAGAACAGCGTGCGGCCCAGCGGGCGATCGGCATTTCTCCGTTGTCTTTGCTGCCTCCCCACCACTCGGTATCGCCATTCGAAGGGGACCCGCCGACCACGGCCTCCCCACTTCCAACTTACGACTTACAATCGCGCGCTGCCGCCGCTTTAACGACGCCTACATCAAACCGTGGAACTTTCCAATTTTTCACTACTGACTCGTTGGGATTTTGAACCCAGTAATACACAGATGATTACCAGCATATCAATTCATCCCTTATAAATAAGCTACAACTCAGGTAAGCAAAATGCATTGTTCCATGTGTCCTACGCCGAAAGTCACTCTTCGTCATCAACACAGTAGACCCAGGACCATTCTGTAACAGGTCCCACAAGCTCAATAACTGTCAAAATCCAACACCAGAAGAAAAAACTGATCATTGGAGGTCTGTTAACTGGACAGTAGGGTAATGTAGTGCTGATAGAAGAGCCAGGGAGGGTTCGTCAACGCCAGTAGATCCAGAGCCATTCTGTAAAAGGTCCAACAGGCTCAATATTTGTCAAAATCCAAGACCTGAAGAATAGACTGATCATTGGCGGTCTGTTATCAGGACAGAAGGGTAACGTAGTGGTGCTAGAAGAGCCAGGGAGGGTTCATCAACGCCAGTAGATCCAGAGCCATTCTTTAAAAGGTCCGACAGGCTCAATATTTATCAAAATCCAAGATCCGAAGAATAAACTGACCTTATCATTACTAAGAAATACTAATAAATGAAGGATCATTAAAGGTCTGTTAACTGGAAAGAAGGGTAACGAAGATGTGATAGTAGGGCCAGGGAAGGTTCATCAACGCCAGTAGATTGAGAATCATTCTGCAAAAGGTTCCGCACACTGAATAACTGTCAAAATCCAAGGTTAGAAGAATAAACTTATAGTATCATTGCAAAGAGATACCAATAAATCTTGGATCATTAGAGGTCAGTTAACTGTTCAGAAGGATAACGTAGATGTAAAAGAGCCATGGGGGTTCCTCAACATGAGTAGATCCAGAACCATTGTTTAAAAGGCCCGATAGTCTCAATATTTGTCAAAATCCAAGATCAGCAAAATAAACTCAGTGTAACATTGCAAAGAAATACCAACAAAAGGAGGTTCATTGAAGGTCTGTTAACTGGATAGAAAAGTAACGTAGATGTGATAGAAGGGCAAGGGAAGGTTCATGAACACCAGTAGATCTAATAACAATCTGTAAAAGGTACCACAAGTTCAATAACCGTCAAAATCCAAGATCAGCAAAATAAACTCAGTTTACCAACAAACGCAGGTTCATTAAAGGTCTGTTAACTGGATAGAAAAGTAACGTAGATGTGATAGAAGGGCAAGGGAAAGTTCATAAACACCAGTAGATCCAGTACCATTCTGCAAAAGTTCCCACACGTTCAATAACTGTCAAAATCCAAGATCAGAAGAATAAACTGATCATTGCATGCCTGTTAACTGGACAGAAGGGTAACGCAGGGATATGGAAGTTTCGTCTACCTTAAAAAGATCCGACTGGCTAAATATCTGTAAAAATCCAATATCAGAAGATTAAACTGAGCGTGTCATTGTAAAGAAGTATTGGAATTCAATATCCAGAAATATTGGAGTTATAATAGGTCATCAAATCTCCAACTATGTATTGGAAGATGTGAGAAAAGGATTGGGCTCGTGGAGAGAGGTCTTTTTTGTAAAGGAGACTCAAACAAACTCAGAAACATCAAATTACCTTGCTTTTTCACATCAAAGTTAGGTAGGTGTTGCTGTTCTTTGAAGGGGACGATCAGGTGACATGGATTTCGCTCGACCTTTTTTTAATGATTCTACATTCCAAAACATTGGACACGTATCTGCCACTTCTTGTGAATGGGCCTTGGTTTCGCCAAAATGTTTTTTGAAAGTTGAAATTTTTCGCTTTTTAATATTTTTCTTTCGTCGTTATACTGGCTCAAATCTACTATGTGAATACATAATTGTACAGCTTAGTTTATGTACATTACAGTAAAAATGCAGCAAAAGCTATTAAAGTTTATCAATAACCAAAAAGGGGCGTCGGTGGTCGCAACGGTCTAGGCGTTGACACGGCGCTCATCACTCTAAGGTAAAGGTCCCGGGTTCGAATCCAGCGGCCCTGCATTCGAACCCGACATACTTACAAGTGGGCTTTTTTTCAAAAACACCGGCACTCTGAGGGTTTATATGACATGACCTCTGCCGTTGCGAACCCTCGTAAAAAAAATCTAAAAACCAAATATTTTTCAAGTAAACTAGGTCATAACTTTTTTCGAGAAACTAATATGAAATTTAGTTTTAGCACCTCTAGAGACCCCTAAATATAAATTTTTGATTGAATTTAAATTTATCGATTTTTGGACCCCTAATTTGTTTTTCGATTTTTAATGCATACCTAATTTAAATTTTTTAAATTCAAAAACGGCTAAAGGTATTTTAACGTCAAACATACCATTTGAAAGTAGAGGAATGTAGCTTCTTAACGACGAATGTAACTAAAAAAGAATATAAAAGATTTCTATAAGAAAATACACAAAATAAAAAAAATCATTTGTCAAACATTCTTTTTTTTAATATAAATAATAGCCTAATTTTAATGTTTGAAAGAGTTATAAAATGCATTTGATAATTTCTTTAAAACGAATTATCAACCATGAAAATCGGTTTACTATGGTTTGAGAAAAATCATGTTAGGAGCTTGCACTAGGAATACCAGTCACACAGAAGGTCGTCGAAATTATCAGTCAAAAAATTAATTTTTACCGATTTCCACGAAAGTCGGTATTTAATTTATTATAACGCTAGAATCACTACAATGAGGTCCAATCCAAGTTTGCACCATTTTCTGACCTACATTGCTTATAGAATATTTGTTAAAATATGTAAAAAAAAAGGAGTATTTTTTATGAATCTTTTACAATCATACCAAATTACAATAATCTGTGCAGTAGAACATTTTTGTTTTTATGTTAAACAACAATGAAATTAATACACCAAAAATAATATTTTTTAATCCATAAATAACCATTTAAGCTCATTTAAATAAGTTTACTTTATACTTATAATTTTTATTAATATTTCAATTTATACATTATAAATTAAAAAATAAATTCATTCAAACAGAATTACCTTTCGTCCCTTCTCTTTCATAATTAATTAATTTGAATTTTGTTCAGAATGTAGTGTTTTGCTTTGGTAAAAAGTTTTGGTGAAACGCAAATGAACAAAATGTAAAATATTATTCAAAAATCGTAAGATGCGGTCTGGTGTGACGTAGGTTTCAGAAAGACGTTTTCTTTATCGTGCCAACGTTTCGATCTTTATTGACATCATCTTCAGTGCCTGGGATTTACAAACATTGTTTAAATTTAACAAATACATGTAGGATGTGGAAAAAAGTGAATTTATACAATGCAAAATATATTTTTTATATTCATTCAAAGTATTTCTACTCACAAACACTTTGAGTTCCCAGGCCCTGAAGATGTTCTCATTAAAGATCGAAACGTTGGCACGATAAAGAAAATGTTTTTTTGAAACCTACATCTCACCAGACCGCTTCTCACGATTTCTGAATAATCTTTGTCTTACGGTCACTAATCGCCACACAAAAAAATGTAAAATGTTATAAATAAAATTAAAAATACTAAATTAAGCAATGCCAAAAAATTAAAGGTAAATAAATAACTAATCAAGTCAACTGTAGTAAAAGAATCTTAGGAATCGATTAATTAGACAAAGATATGCAAATGAAAAACGCAATGAAAATGTATTTTATTTATTCACTGAATTTTCTTAAGTCTATTTGTAATGAAAACATGTCAATGGAAAAGTGGGTTTAATTTTGGAATTAATTATTCTCACTTGTCAACAAAGACTCCTTAGATTTGTTAGCCAAATTATCCATATTATATATCCATATCCAAATTACATATATCCAACAGTGGAAAAATATCCGTGCGGAATTCTTCAGAAAATAGTCAAAATTTGGATTGGACCTCATTGTCGTGATTCTAGCGTTAAAATAAATTAAATATCGACTTTCGTGGAAATCGGTGTAAATTAATTTTTTGACGATAATTTCAACGTCCCAGTCTCGTTCGTAGTGCAAGCTCCTAATATGATTTTTCTCAAACCGTAGTAAACCGATTTTCATGGTTGAAAATTCGTTTTCAAAAAATTGTCAAATGCATTTTATAACTGTTTCAAACATTAAAATTGGGCTATTATTTCCATTAATAAAAAGAAAGAATTTTTGACAAATAATTTTCCTATTTTGTGTATTTTCTTATAGAAATTTTTTATATATTTTTAGCTACATGCGTCGTTAAGAACTACGTTCGTCCTCTACTTTCAAATGGTATGTTTGACGTTAAAATACTTTTAGCCGTTTTTGAATTTAAAAAATTTAAATCAGATATTCCGATAACATTAAATATCGAAAAACAAATTAAGGGTCCAAAAATCGATAAATTTAAATTCAAACAAAAATTTATATTTAGGGATCTCTAGAGGGCTAAAACTAAATTTCATATTAGTTCCACGGAAAAAAATAGACCTAGTTTACTTGAAAAATATTTGGTTTTTAGAATTTTTTGGTTATCGATAAACTTTAATATCTTTTACTATATTTTGATTGCAATCGAAATAAACTATGCTGTACAATTATGTATTCACATAGTAGATTTGAGCAAGTAGAACGACGAAAAAAAAATTAAAAAACGGAAAATTTCAAATTTCAAAAAACATTTGGGCGAAACCAGGGCATTTACACGAAGTGGCGTATACGTGTCCAATATTTTGGAGTGTAGAATCACGAAAAAAATGTTGATCGAAATCCGTGTCACACCAACCTGATCGTGCCCTTCAAAAAACATCAAATCGTTACACTGAGACAACCACCTACCTAATTTTGGTGTGAAAAAGCAAGATAATTTGATAGTTCTGAGTTTGTTTGATTCACTTCTACAAAAACATTTTTTTTTCGGTGAACCCAACCCTTTTCTTACTACCATCTTCCAACACAGAGTCGGAGATTTAATGCTCCCTTACAACTCCAAATATAAATAAACATCTAATGTAAATAATAATTTCTTATTGCATTGTTGGTGGCCGCTATTACCAATG